AAAGTGAACTCAGAGAATAAACGTGAGCATATAACTCACATGCACACACGAATACCAATGTGACTTTGTAGCCTAGATTTCAAGGGGAAGACAAGACAGACTTTCATCAGGATATTGCTATCGTCTAAAAATAGTAGAGGAGTCTCTGAACTATTCAGGTTTCACCAATCGGCACATCTGAGGGAGAGCTCCCTTATACATTGATGCATTATCTTTATCATTGTAGTTGATGCCTAATGCTTTTCTACTCATCAAAAGCAGTCTTGAATGGAAGGGACATTAATCTCCTTGTAAGACGATCATCACTTTGAAATCCTAAGTGATCTCACATTTCCGAACAGCTTAAATCACAACACTGAAGGGAACAATAATACAGAGTGCTACTGATTCATTTCCTGACTGCCAGAAGATATGATCTCACATACCTGAGCACCCTGGTGAATTCTGATATTATTTCCTAGTACCAGAGGGTGGAGAAGAAAGATCACCCTGCCTTTCCTAGAGTAGGTGGGAGGCTTTGACACTATCCAGAGGCCCCGAGGGGCCAACACAGGAAGAAATTTTTTTCATTTCACCTAAATTGATGCTCTAGAACTTGAGTGTGACCTACCAGAGCCGTCAAAGAGCCTTAATTTCCTAATGAAAAGCGCTACAGGAGGCATTTTCCCTTTTTTTACATTAACACGATTTTTTCACGAGTTCTTTAAAAAAGCATAGAATATATCAAGGCAGCTATGTCTATGGCAGAGTCTTAACCTGTATTAGGAAGTATGGACAGGCTTTCAAAATTCTGATCACTTGAAAACCCCCAGGGGGTAAAAGTGAAATGAGGTCCCAGGGGGCTCAGATTTATTTAAAGGGAAAACTCTTAAAAAAAAAAAAAAAAAACTTTTAATGAAAGTTTTTAATAAAACTCCAGAATACTGGAGTGGGTAGCCTTTCCCTTCTCCAGGGTATCGTCCCAACCCAGGTATGAAACTCAGGCCTCCCACATTGCAGGCAGATTCTTTACCAGCTGAGCCACAAGGGAAGCCCAGAGGGAAAACAATACCATATACAAGAGTCTAAACAGTAATAATTGCCCACTTAAACGTTACTGATTACAAACAAGTTTCTAACACACAAGTGTGTGTGTTAGTCACTCAATCATGTCCAACTCTTTGCAACCCCATGGAATGTAGCCCACCAGGCTCTTCTATCCATGGAATTCTCCAGGCAAGAATACTAGAGTAGGTAGCCTTTCCCTTCTCCAGGGAATCTTCCTGATTCAGGGATCAAACCAAGGTCTCCAGCATTGCAGGCAGATTCTTTACCATCCTGAGCCACCAAGGAAGCCCCCTTATATGTGTACTAACAAAAAATGTCTACAGAGTGACAGAAGCAAGTTGCAGAAATACATTTGTAACATGATGCTATTTTAAAGATGTATATATATACATAGTTGTTCTCAGGAAAAAGTCTGGAAAATGATATACCAAGTTATTGAAAGTGTTTTCCTCTGGGGTGCTAGTTAAACCAGCAATTAATACAAACTTATATAGCTTATGCTGTTTCAAACTTTTACAAGTACATAGTACTTTCATTTTTTAAAAAATGCTGGATAAAAGCAAAACTCAATGAAATGCATGATTAAAATTCAAGACACTGAAAATAATCAAAATAATGTAGTGTTTTTTCCAGGTACCAGTGAAATTTTCCAGAAGGTATAGAAGAGAGTTGGCTGGGTTAAGAGTCACAATTGGTGACAAAAGAATGCTTTGACTTTGGAAACAAAATAGCACTAAGCTGGTAAGCAGGCGGGAGGAAGATTTTGGTCTAGTCCTGTGAGTGCAAGTAGCTTGGGTGGTGGCTTAGTTGCTAAGTCCAGTCCGACTCTCTTGCAACCCCTGGACTGTAGCTCTCAAGGCTCCTCTGTCCACGGGATTGCCCAGGCAAGAGCCATTTCCTTCTCCAGGGGATCTTCCTGACTCAGGGATGGAAGCTGTGTCTCCTACATTGCTGGCAGGTTCTTTATTCCTGAGACACCAGGGTAGCCCCAAGCTTGGGTCAGGATTCAAAAATCCAGCAGCCAGTATTGTGTGGCAACTGCTTTCCCAGGTAGTCAGACATGTATTCAGCTCCTTCAAGACTATCAACATCAACATTTCTGTATTTATTTAGAAACAACGCCCAATGTGCAACAACGTGACCAGGGTAAAAAGAAGTGGGGAATGACACACTCCTTCTTGGCAGGTGTAATTCCTTCAAATAAGGCAGTATGAGGGTGGCCACAGAAACAGCCTGTGAGCAGGTACTTTTCACTGTCACATCTAGATAAAGAAGGATCAACTGCCTCAGATTTTCTAAGACATGCACTCTCTTCCTCATATACAACAGGGCAGGGGCCTCAAGAGTTGATCCAGTAGTGTCTGAAACAATGGAATTTGCGGAGACTAGAAACTGAGGAAGAGGCTGAACACAAACTGCGTTCTTAAGTTTATGTCATTTAAAGTCTGGCAGGAAGTTTCTACCACCATTCACAGGGACCACAAAGGGGACAGGGTTTCAACCTGGGCACAATGAACTAGTTGCTGCTCCAGAAATGGAGCTCCTCTAAAACTTAGGGTTCCCGATTAGGGTAAGGTACATATATCACTGGATAAACACTACTGGTTGACAAACTCTTTTTGTTCAAAACTGACAATTTAGAAAACAAAACAAATGACAGCCTTGGGGTTTATCAAAATGAACAAAGAGAAAGCATGAAAACTCATAGGAAGAGTTACTTTATTAACAAGACAGCCCAGGCTGACGCGTGTGGTACCCACTGTACCTCTGACCGCTACTCCCCTAGACTGGGTGCTTCTCGAAGGAAGAGAAAATGCCTCTCTCCCTCTTGTCTCCCTAGCGTACCACCAATACTGAAACATACCGACTCAATTATATGGTTCTTAACACTTTTTTCCTCCAATGGTTTGAATCAAGAGTTTGAATCAAACTCTTGATTCAATGTTTTGGATCTAAAACAGCAGCATCAGTCTCCTTCACTGTCTTGAACATGCTGACAATTTGGTGATGGGGGGAGATGGGTATTTAGCCATGGAGATGTGTTTATATACTCAGGAGCTCTAATTTAGAATTATTGTGAACAGAGGAAATCAGATATCCAATCCTTTTTTGTCAATAATGTGTGAAAAACCTTTTGGTTAGTGTAAGAGAACACATCACTGACTTCTCTTTTAATCTATCTCCAATGTTACTTCAGATATTTAAGGGAGAACTCACTTGCAGAAAAATCTCATGCTAGCTTTTGCTCCAGACTCCTGGGGTGGTTATTAGCAGTGTGGCCTCTGAGCAGAGACAGTGTGAATTGAAGTGCTGACTGACACTTAATAATTGTATGCATTTAGGCAAGTCAGCTTGTCAAGTCTCAGTTTTCTTATCAGGAAAGTGGGTTGCCTGAAACTAAAATACATGTTAGTCACTCAGTCATGTCTGACTCTTTGTGATCCCATGACTGTAGCCCACCAGGCTCCTCTGTCCATGCAATTCTCCAGGCAAGAATACTGGAGTGGGTAGCCATTCCCTTCTCTGGGATATCTTCCTGACTCAGGGATCAAACCTGGATCTTCTGCATTGCAGGCAGATTCTTTACCATCTGAGCCAACCAGGAAGTCCAAAACACAAGTTAAGTACTTACATAACATGGCGCTTGGTGCATGGACAGTCCTAAATATCTGTTACATTGATACATCTGCTTTGACTCTTCACTTCCAATCATGCCCCAGCTCAGCATAGGGCAAATAAATAAAAACAGTTGAAATTATATATTTATTTATTCTTTATTAATACTGAACTAGGCAGATCTGTATCTCTCAGTTGTCAGCAAATAACATACACAAATTTTTACATATATGCAAATATATACAAGTATTTGTATAAAACTGAATACTCATGATTTTAAATTTGACAAATATCAGGTAAAAAGCAGACTATCATACTGAGTTAATTTCTCACTCAATGTTCAGCCTGAAATAGAAGTCTATTTTACACAAGATCCTCACAAAAAGGTTAATACAAGTAAGCCACGAACACTGCAAATTTGACCACTTGATTAGATTTGCGGAGGAAGGGAATAACTTCCAGTATCATGTAGAGAAACAAGCAATAAAAGCACACGAGTCTGAAAAAATGGAATTATCCTCAACGGGTCAAAATCAGCACCCAAGGAAAGCAATTCCACTCCTTGCACTTAAAGCGAATCACTCTTTAAAGCACACTGTAGCTCGCGCAGACAAGCACTTCTTCAAGGAGTCCTTGTTTAAGCAGATCCCTTTGTACAAACATGAAACAAATCAAATCTTGCATTCAGTAAAAGTTGAAGGTTTAAGGTGAGTACATTTCCTAAGCCCACAGGCTTGCTAAAATCATCCACATGGCTGATGTAATGCTGATGCTTTTTCTTCAGATAAAGCAGTTCAACCAGTGATGGTGGATGGCAGAGAAATCAGTGGGTGACACATGGAAAAACCAACAGGGGGAGGATTTTTAGGGTGCTCGTGCTCAACAGCTCAGTTGGGTCCAACTCTTTGTGACCCCATGGACTGCAGTCCCCCAAGCTCCTTTGTCCACGGAATTTTGCAGGCAAGAATACTGGAGTGGGTTGCCATTTCCTACTCCAACTGTTAGGGCAGGGTAGCAAAATAGCTTCTCTGAAAGGAGAAGAGTCAAGAGTAAGTGACAACATAGTCCTTATTTATTTAATGTCTCTCTTTTATACCCCTCACAGCTATCATATTGGAGATTCTGAGCAACAGGAACATTTTGAACTTATAAGAGGGCATTAAGATAACACAATGCCTATTGGTCAAAAAAAAAAAAGAAAAACAAAAAAACAACTGGCTAAAATGGAAAATAAACTACAGAATTAGATGTTTCATGTGTTTTATATCAATCTCATAGAAAATGGTAATGTTTTCTAAAATTACAATATTTCATATGCTCTAAGCTAAATGTCAAAATTAGATAACATCATCTGCAATTGTAGTATCAAAAATCTGATAGCATATCTGCTGCTCCTTTCCACTTGTGACATTATATGACCTGATGAAGAATTCCAGCCACGGATATGCATCTACAAATCAAAAAAAGAAGTAATATTGAATCATTAAAACGAAACATATAACTCAGAAATATGTATCTAAGCATAACACTTAACTAGTAAAATTAACATATTTAATTTAGCTTGAGAAGTAAATAAATACACTCACCAAATTTAACATCATCTGTTCTTTCAAATACACACTGGCTTCATGTTACTGCTTTGCAGCAATTCTGACTAATTTGAATTTTTCCCCAATAGCAAGAAAAAGTAATGATGTAGGGTTTTCAAAATATTTGATATCATAGGTAGTAATCTACATCATTCCTGACTTTTTTTTAAATTTTATTTTTGGCTGTGCTGGGTCTTGGCTGCTACTTGGGCTTTCTTCTCTAGTTACAGCGAGTGGGAGCTACTCTCCTGGCAGTGCATGGGCTTCATTACGGTGGCTTCTCCTGTTGCAGAGCACAGGCTCTAGAGCACGCGGGCTTCAGCAGTTGAGCCGCAGGAGCTCTAACGTGCAGGCTCGGTAGTTACAGCACACAGGCTGAGCTGCCTCGTGGCATGTGGGGTCTTCCTGGGCCAGGGACTGTCTCCTGCATTGGAAGGCAGATTCTCAACCACTGGACCACCAGGCAAGTCCCTGGTGGGGACTTTCCTTTCTTTTTTTTCCTGCCGAGTGCTTACTGATCTCCCCTGTTTGGCTTTTCTTGGCTGACTGCGAAGAAGCCAGCTCACCTTTACATCTGTCTAGCTGAAAGCCCTGTCAGGCACCAGGTACTCTGTCCAGGCAATATGGCAGCCACAAGTGCCATTTCCAAGCTTTGGCCATGACCACAGTGAATCTATATATACCTTCTAGAACAGTCTGGTAATATTTCTTAAGGTTTGAATTTGAAAGACACTTAATATAGTCCTAACTATTGGCAAGGGTCAAGCAAGACAGGCTTCTCCCACACTGTCGGTAGAACCATGAATACGGAAAATGCTCTTGAAAAGCCATCTGGCAGTATGTATCAAACGCCTATCATATCTATGCTTTTTGATATGACTGTTTTATTTTCAAATATCTATCCAAAAGAATCCAAACAGCCAATAAAAATGAAAACTGACATCAAATAAAAGTATGTAAGTTAGACTTAGTTATGGATGTACAAAAACTCTCTCTTTGGAATTGTTATAAAATGCAAAGACTGATCAGGGGAAAATAAACCTGATTTAAGACAAACTGTAAAAGTTAAACTGACAACAGCTAAATTTGCTGCTGGTAAAATCTGTTACTGATGAAAAATTGTGATGAGAAGTCAAATTGCCTTAAAATGATTTAGATCTGCACATTTAGGGCAAAGAGAAATAATGGCCACCAAAGGAAGTAGGTGTAATCAATGCAACCTGACTTGAAGACTGGCTGGTGAATCAAATATTACACAGAAAACAACAAAAGCTAACAAAATATGTAGATAAAATCTGAAATTAGCAAATATTGAATAAACAATTCATCAGTGAAATGAGTGAGTTTTTTATAGGAAATGTTTGTCAAAATTTCATCCCTGTTGGCTCAATTTCAACTGTTTGTATGCATAAGCAGCTTATCAAATGTGTTTGCGATCAAAACTGCCTTTTTTCCTGCCGACTGCTTACTGATCTCCCCTGTTTTGCTTTTCTTGGCTGACTGCGAAGAAGCCAGCTCACCTTTATATCTGTCTAGCTGAAAGCCCTGTCAGGTACCAGGTACTCTGATACATTTCAAAATATATAAAAAATCTTTTTTTCATTTCAGGAATTATGATTCATACCTGTCTTATCCTTGCCACAGTCTTCATCAGTAGGTAGGTCATACAGTCTCATCAATCACTAATTTATAAATTTATTTGGACTCAGATTTAAAAACTTTTTTACCTCTAAAAGTCCAGAGATTAGCCATAAGCTAAGTATTATTTCAAGAAAAAGAATGAATGGCATTAACAAATATTACTGCCTACCAATTTTTGCTCCTGGGGGACAAAACATATCCATGATCATTTCCATGTTATGCTGAAGATTATCATTGTTTAAGACTTCTGATGCTGGAATCTGGAAGAAATTTTCCTTAAGAAAAACACAAAGAAACAGGAAATGATTAGAAGTTATAATCAATGTGAAAGTATTTGAATATTATCTAATTAAAATCATCCAAACTATTTCACCCTATTTATATTGTAGAATTCATAAACTAGAGTGCTAAACTCTAAAATCTAATCCATTACTTTAATCTAAAGACAGCTTTGAGATACATATAAAACCAAGTTAAATTGTTTTGACATAATGATAACTAAAAGTAGTAAGCAGAACACAGTGAAGTTTACTATTCTCTTGACAGCACACAGACTAAGCACCTACGATGTCTAAGTGCCGAGTTTAAAAGAGTATAATATATACTATATATTTATTTGTTTAGCTTTTTTCTCCTCTATTATTTGTAAGATCTAGGAGGGAAAGGAGTTTGCTTGCTTCACTCACTGCCATGTTCCTATCACAAAGAATAGCACTTGGCATAGAGCAGGTGCTCATTAAATATTTAATAAATGGATAAACTGATTAGGTAGAAGAAAAGGTGTCCTCATCTTTATCCCAGATTTTTTCCCAATGTGTGTAGTAAAAACCTCACTGGGCTGTGCCCTCAGTTTCTGAGAGGTAACCTCTAAAACCTTGGAACATCGTGCCTCACAGATGTGTCTGCATTTGCCTAGGTAACCTGGGTCACTCTAACATTGTGATTTAGGGTGGAGAGTTTGGAGCATGTGGTTTTAACTTGACCACTGGAGGGGCTGAAGACTGGGATAAGTCATAGGGGCAGCCAATAATGACTACCTGATGAGGCGCCAATAAAAACTGGATGCTACGGCTCCTGTTGCTGCCCTGGTTGGCAACACCTCACGTGTACTGCTACACATCATTACCAGGAAAGTAACACTGTCCACGACTCCACAGGAAGAGAACATTAGCTCTACGTCTGAAACTTACCTGGATTCAGATTCATGCACCTCTTCCCTTGAGGATTTTAACCTATACCCTTTAGCCATGATAAATAGTTAACAGTGAGCATAATGCACACAGTAAGTTTTGTGAGTCTTTCTAGTAAATTATCAAAACTAAGAGTGGTTGTGGAGACCTCTGTGCTTTCGATTGGTGTCAGAGGTAAGGGTCTTGGTCTAGGGAACCCCTCAACTTGAAATTGTTAGAAATGAAGGTAGTCTTATAGATAGCTACCAAGCTTCACATAATACAATGGATCTCCCCTTCAAAGTAATTTCATTCTTTCTAATATGAAATGTTGGAGACTTAAAAAGCCCAGTGAAATGCTAATAGATAACGCCTGAGGGTATGGCCACACCTCTGCCTCCAGTTCTTGGAGTAGAACTCCTGCATGGTATAGAGAAGGAGTCTTTCCTTAAATTCTGATTTTTCAATTTCTCACTATTCACATATTAAGATTATAGTGTCAAATCAAGAGAGTAAATACATATATAATTTAAGATTTATGTGCTTGTGTTTTATTTATTCTTCTGAGTTGCCTTAAATGTTCTCAGTAATAAGGTAGGCATGGATAAATATATTAAAATTCAAAAAAGTACTATTTTAGAAATATCTTCTAATAGTTAGAAATATCTTCACTACCTCTGTTACTTACAGAATCCATGAGGTAAGCTTCCAATACTCCCGTTCCATCGTCAAGAGTAAATGTCATCACAAACACTTGTCGGAGGGGAACAATGCCCAGTGCTAATGAAGGAAAAAAGTTGAAACCATATGAATCTCCTAAGTCGTTTTTCTTTGACCACACTGTGCTCCCTCCAGTGAAAGCATGGAGTCTCACAACCACTGGACCACTAAGAAGTCCCACTATGCCTTTTAATAACAGTAAAGAAAAAAGTTGTTTTGTGATATTATGTTCCTGTTAATCTTGTTAACTAAAATAATTCAAGAGATTTAAAAAAAAAAAAGCACTCCTTTTTGTTCCCTGATACTAATATGTTAAGCTCATTTCAGAAGGGTAATTTTGGAATATTATACTACACCTGTATAGAGACAATGACTCAAAAACAATGGTATCTTTGTTAATTTTATTTAAAAAAAAATTTATGTTTTGGCTGCACTGGGTCTCCCCTGGTGCATGAGAGCTTTTCCTAGCTGTGAGTGGCAAGCGGGGGACACTCTCCATTGCAGTGCAGGGGGCTTCTCACTGTGGGGGCTTCTCTTGCTGCGGAGCACGGGCTCGAGTGTGGGCTCAGTGGCCGGGGCGCAAGCGCTCAGCTGCTCTGTGCCATGTGGGATCTTCCCAGACGAGGGAGGGAACCCATGTCCTTGTATTGTCCTGGATTCTTAACCACTGGACCATCAGAGAAGTCCCAGTATCTTTTTAAAAAACTAAATGCTGATATAGCATTATCTTTAAAATGAGTTGATCTTCATAGGAAATATAAAAGGCAATTCAATGCATGTTAGCTTATGTAAGAGAAAATTTAAATGTCAGAATGTTCTTAAAAAAAAACAGCATACAGTTCAATGGTTAGGATTTTGTAACCTGTCTCTATCCTTTGGATTTTAAGCACAGAGATCACTTATTTTTTTAAAAGATAGCATCTGGTTGAATGATGCCAGAATCTGAGATTTCATAATTTGGTTTAGATGAGGAAAAAGGAAGAAATTAAAGTGATACTAAATCATATGAAAATGTACAGGTTAAAATGAACATCTTACTTTGTGTCTATAAATGAAAGACATTCAAAATGCTTATATAATGGAATATTGTCTTCCATCTGTGGAATTCATATTCAAATATGACTAATAAAGGGGGCAAGTAAGAAAAATAAATTAGGGCATACAGACATGAGAAAAACCACTAATACAGAGGAACTGATTTTCAAGATTCAAAAGTACTCAATAGACGTGGGCTAAAACCAAGACGGATGAACAGAAAACCTACTCTAAGAGACCAATAAGCAAACAAAGAACTACATTAAGTACAGGATGATGAGACCAAGCTTGAAGTACACAGCAAGAAATTCATGCAAAAGTTAACCTGGATTTTAACTGGACCACAAACAAAACATGAATTAGTAGTATCACATAGCTAAATTAAAAGAGAAAGAAAACAAAACCAAGAATACAAACCAATATCTACACAATAAAATTTTCAGGCAAGCAGGAGCACTGTCCAATTTTAGGGAATAAAGTTTTTCTCCATATTCTGAACTGGCCAACATCTGCAGCCCTATTTCTAGCTTTGAGTACCAAACTTTGAGAAGAACATCGGTAAAATGGAATGCTTATTGAAGAGGAGAAATAAAGCAGTAAGAAACATGAGAAAATACCGAAGGAAGTGTGGATACCTGCTTGGAGAAATAAGGACTTAATGAATACTTGACAGATTACATTCAAATGCACAGTCTACTGATTTTATAGAAGAGGGAACACACGGACTCTAATTCTCTTAACAGTAGAAAGAACGTGACCCATGTTGAAATTGCAGGTAAGCAGATTTTGCCCCACTGTTAAGTACTGCATCTAAAAAATAAGATTTGTTACCTTACAAAGAAAATCCCGTGGACAGAGGAGCCTGGAGGGCTGCTGTCCGTGGGGTCTCACAGAGTTGGACACAACTGAAGTGACTTAGCAATGTAAATGGGTCCCCAGTCGCTGAGAGTTTTAAGCCAAGGCTGGATGACCACAGTTAATGATGTGATATAAAAAGACTCTTATTATTCCAGCTAAAGACTTGTATTGGGTAAAAAGTTCTAATAGCTAGTTCTAAAATTCTTTTCAAACCCAAGATACCATTAACTGGAGAGATTTTTCACAAGTTGTATTTATGATTAATACTAAATTATTGAAAATTAAAATGTAGTAACTGAAAAATACTGGAAGATTCTTAAAAGTACATTTTCAGGTTTTTAAAATATTTAAACTTTTATTATGATCACTGTGAATGGTTCTCCTTAAGAAAAACTAAACTTTAGCATAACCTTTGCTCTGATTTTAAAATATCCACAAATACTGAAATATTATCAGTGAGATTATCCTATACAAAGACAGTTACTATAGGACAGAAAAATTTAGCTAACCTTCTGCCACAGAAGAAGGAATCCACGATGTTTTATTAACCAGGGAATTTAGATTTTTTATTGGTCTCAAACTAGAGCAGTGTTTACATCTGAAATCAATAAAAGAAAAAATAATTTATTATAAGTAATTATTACAACTCATTTAATTATTATAAATCTTTGCTGTTCAAGCATGCACAACTTAAAAAGTACATTATTAAACAAAAGAGCACTGCAATTTCTGTATTTTAATGTGCATATTACAAACAGAATTATTAAAACAAATAAACTCCTTACAATAGAAGCAATCAAAAAAGATAGTACAGTCAGAATTTACATTGCTAAGCTGACAATGAGAAAGGTTCCAGGTGCAGGCTGTTAATTAATTTGGCTAATTTCCTTATTTGTAAAGTGAAAAACTCTAAAGACTCTTTTGATTTATGGCTCTGAGAACAATATGTAATACCCAAGACCTTTAAATTTATAAATATAGCCAATAGGAGAAAGTTACTCTAACTAAAGAAGTTAGTACTAGGACATATTTAGAGAATCATAGTATATGATGCCTAATGCTATAGTTAGGGGTTTCCCAGGTGGCAGAGTGGTAAAGAATCTGCCTGTCAATGCAGGAGATGTGGGTTCAATCCCTGGGCTAGGAAGATCTTTTGGAGGAAATGCTAACCCACTCCAGTATTTTTGCCAGGATAATTCAATGGAGAGAGGAGCCTGATGGGCTACAGTCCATGGAGTCACAGAGCTGGACAAGATTGGGCAACTGAGCATGCATGCACAATACTATATTTATTCTTTGTAATATAAATCAGTCTAAAATCATATAATACACTTAAATTGTACATTATCTAGTATAGATATTTTGCTTTACTAATATATAAACATTTTAAATATAAGTAATTTACTTTTTATTATATATATTAATATTTAGGAGATGTTGATAAGAAAATACGCTTGAACAAAAATATAAAAATTAACATTCAAAAGGTTCATGCAGAATACTTTTCATTTGCAATCTGGGGAGGAACAGAGGGTAACTATATTAAATATTATCTCCTTCCACTCTTCAAATACACCAAAGCATCTTCTTTAACAGAAAAAGGTAACTGGGTGAGTTACCTTTAAAAATGGCTGTAATATTAAACTTTAGACATTGATTAAGTATACAAATTAAAAATTAAAAAGTAACAAGCGTAAATTAGAGAATTCATTACTTCCAAAGTAATGAAAGAGGAAAAAGGAGAAAAATAAGAACATTTTTATAAAATAATCCAATAGATGACTGGAGAAAAAAAAGTAATAACAAAAAAGGATGAAAAGGGAAACAATACTATGGTAAGTGTGGAGAAGGAAATGGCAACCCACTCCACTGTTCTTGCCTGGAGAATCTCATGGACAGAGGAGCCTGGCGGGCTACAGTCCATGGGGTCGCAAGAGTTGGGCATGACTTAGCAACTAAACCACCACCACCACCAAGGGTAAAACAACATGAAATATAGTGTAAAAATAAAACCTAGATGTTTCAGCAATTAACTTATTTTAAAATCATCTACAAAAAACAACTAAAATCTACTGGCATTTATTTATGAGACCTACTAAAATACAACAACAAAGAAATATAAAAGCAATGGGATGAGAATAAGGTACACCATGCAATTACCAACCAAAAAAGCTGATACAATTATAAGAATATGAAAAAAAAATAAACTTTACAGCAAAAAATCATGATTATAGATGAAGTTTTTATATAAGGACATATAGTACACTGAATTCACCAAGATGAAATGCTGAACCTGAATGAACAAGCAAAAAAGACTCAAAACATATAAAGCACACACTGACAGAATAAAATGTCACAAACTCACAATCACAGAGGACATTAACTAGCCTCTAAGAAGGTACTGTATAGATAAAATGACAAAGGAAAGAAGGTTTGGATACCATTAATAAGCTTGTCTAATGGACATAACTAAATACTACTAAACATTAAACACAACTGTTAGAAAATACACATTCTTTTAAAAATCTATGTAGTATGTACAAATTATGAACAAACATATTCCTTGATAAAGCAAAGATGAATCATTATGAAATACATCAAGCTATTTGGTTAAAAAGTAATTAACTAAAATATAAATAAGAATGTAGCACCTAAAATGAGTGTGTGAAAAATTTAAAATACACAGTGAAATAATTAATGGGCCAAAGAAATCATAATGAAAATTGTGAAACATTTAGAAATGACAAGAAAAATAGGACCTATCAAACCTTCGGTTAAAGCTATGGCTATTTTCTCAGGAGAAAATTATAGACTTCAATATAAATATTTAAATGTATACTAAAAAACAGTGAATTAAGTGAAGCAAACATTCAATTTAAAACATTACAAAAATGGTGTACTAAGGAAACCTACAGAAAGTAAAGGAAAAAACTAAAGAACAATAATAAACAAAATACAGGCCATCAACAAAACAAAAGCTGGTTGCTTTGGCAAAAAAGGTCAAGGATTAAAAAGTTGCAAATAATATGAAGTGAATTCAAGAAGAGGAAGACTTAAGCACTATGAATAATTTTATGTCAGTAAATTTAAACCTGAAAAACAAATGAAATACTATTCTAGAAAACTTTCATTATTAAAATAGATTCAAGGACAAACAAATTCTTAAAAGATGTGCAACTGCTAAAAAACTGAAGCAGTGGTTTCAATTCTATTAAAAAAGTATCATATCCAGAAATCTAATTCAAGTTTTATAAAAACTTTAAGGTCTTGTCAAACATTTTGGTAAATATGAATATATTAATCTTGGAAAAATCTATAAAATAAAAGGAACCATAGTTTAAAAAGTATAGGATGGACTAGAAGTTTGATGAGATGCATGTAACTGCATATAAAAGCTTACAAAAATCCTTCCTACATCTCTTTGTAGAATTATTAGAATCGGCTAAACACACACAGGCCTTCCCCAGTGGCTCAGACAGTACAGAATCCTCCTGCAACGCGGGAGACACGGGTTGGATCCCTGGGTTGGGAAGATCCCCTGGAGGAGGGCATGGCAAACCCTCTCCAGTATCCTTGCCTGGAGAATCCCTATGGACAGAGGAGCCTGGTGGGCTACAGTCCATGGGGGTCACAGAGTCAAACACAACTGAGTGACTAAGCACATGGCACAAATACACACAAGAACCAAAACAGGGGCCAACAAGTGAAAAATCTGTACATGGAATTTACAGAAGAGAAAACCTAAATAGCCAACAAACAGGAGAGGTGCTTAAACTCACCAAAACAACATAGATACTATTTGATACTCATTAGTCTAACAAAATCACAAGTCACACTAATACCAAGAACTAAGTGTTAAGGAGAATCCAAGGTAAGCAAATTTTTACACATTGCTGATTCACCCATATGGCAATCCACTCCAGTATTCTTGCCTGGAGAGTTCCATAGACAGAGGAATCTGGAGGGCTATAGTCCATAGGGTCACAAATGGTCAGACACAACTGAAGCAACTTAGCATGCACACATGCACGACTGAACCATAATCACTGGAAAAACAATCTGGTATTTTCCAATAAAGCAGAAAATATTCTATAGCCCAAGGTTTCACAAAGCAGAACCCTTTGACTGTCTGATCAGGTGGAAACACAGATGCTATCTACACTGCCTCTTTCCAAACCTAGTAAGTAGCTCCTAATGTATTTTTATATCTTTTACTTTCTCACTGGCAACTCATTTATAACTTTGTGGCACAGAAATTCTGGAATTCAATTACCTAACTTTTACTAGCATGCAGCTCTGAACCTTGTCTGTAACAAGTATCTAAATTTTTAGAAAGCAAATGAATATTAGCTTTTAGGGCAGCCTTAAACCTAGCAGAGTACAGACACTCAATATACATGCTATTCAAGAAGATACATGTACCAAAAAAATCTATCACCTATAAACTGGTACTCAACCACTATCCACTGAATACAGTAGTAACAAGGGGATAAAATAATAAACAAGTGAATAAATAAAATTAAAAATTCCCATCATTGAAAACATACCCATAGTGATGTATTTTCCCTTGTATAAGAAATGGAGCTGAAAGGTCAAGGACTTCCAGGTCTTCATGGCCAGATCTTACAGGAATTACACTATGAAACTTGTCTGAGAGTTTGCAGATTTCACTGAGTGTACCTCCTATTAAAAGGGAACAAATAAACCCTTCAAATAGTACAAATATAAAGTAGACAAACTGGGGTATTTATTGTGCAACACCTTAGGGGCAGTAAAAGACTAAAAGGATGGACAGAAAAAGACAACACATGCCATGAATTTAACACACTTATACATTTATTGTTAAAAACAGAAATTTGTAAACTTAGGATCCTATTCATTGATTAAAGAAACCACTAAGCAAAAATGCTGAGATATAAGCAAAATAAAAGGCTTGTGAAATATGAACCATCATCTTTTAAAATTTACACAAATTGCTCTTTATGCCTGAACACTTCGGTTCGAATGACCTAAAAAGAATAAAGTTGAGAATGAAAAATGACAGGATTCCCATTATTAAGTTTGCTATATACTACTAATGTCTAGGCAAATTTAGTCTTGAGTTTGAAATGAATCTTTTCAGTTTTCACTTCAGTTCAGTTCAGTCTCTCAGTCGTGTCTGACTCTGTGACCCCATGGACTGCAGCACTCCAGGCCTCCCTGTCCATCACCAACTCCTGGAGTTTACTCAAACTCATGTCCACTGAGTTGGTCCATACAACCATCTCATCCTCTGTCGTCCCCTTCTCCTCCTGCCCTCAATCTTTCCCACCATCAGAGTCTTTTCCAATGAGTCAGTTCTTTGCATCAGGTGGCTAAAATATTGGCGCTTCAGCCTCAACATCAGTCCTTCCAATGAACACTCAGGACTGATCTCCTTTAAGATGGACTGGATGGATTTCCTTGCAGTCCAAGGGACTCTCAAGAGTCTTCTCCAACACCACAGTTCAAAAGCATCAATTCTTCGGCACTCAGCTTTCTTTATAGTCCAACTCTCACATCCATACATGACCACTGGAAAAACCATAGCCTTCACTAGACAGACATTTGTTGGTGAAGTAATGTGTCTGCTTTTTAATATGCTATCTCGGTTGGTCATAACTTTCCTTCCAAGGAGTAAGCATCTTTTCATTTCATGCCTGCAGTCACCATCTGCAGTGATTTTGGAGCCCCCAAAAATAAAGTCTGACAGTTTCCACTGTCTCCCCATCTATTTGCTCATGAAGTGATGGGACCGGATACCATGATCTTAGTTTTCTGAATGTTGAGCTTTAAGGCAACTTTTTCACTTTCCTGTTTCACTTTCATCAAGACGGTCTTTAGTTCTTCTCTGTTTTCTGCCATAAAGGTGGTGTCATCTGCATATCTGAGGTTACTGATATTTCTCCCAGCAATCTTGATTCCAGCCTGTGCTTCCTCCAGCCCAGCATTTCTCATGATGTACTCTGCATATAAGTTAAATAAGCAGGGTGACAAGATACAGCCTTGACGGACTCCTTTCCCTATTTGGAACCAGTCTGTTGTTTCACGTCCATTTCTAACTGTTGCTTCTTGACCTGCATACAGATTTCTCAAGAGGCAGGTCAATTCAGTTCAGTCGCTTGGTTGTGTCCAACTCTTTTCAACCCCATGAACCACAGCACATCAGGCCTTTCTATCCATCACCAACTGCCGGAGTCTACCCAAACCCATGTCCATTGAGTCAGTGATGCCATCCAACCATCTCATCCTCTGTCATCCCCTTCTGCTCCTGCCTTCAATCTTTCCCAACATCAGGGTCTTTTCAAATGAGTCAGCTCTTCTCATCAGGTGGCCAAAGTATTGGAGTTTCAGCTTCAACATCAGTCCTTCCAATGAATACCCAGGACTCATCTCCTTTAGGAGGCAGGTCAGGTGGTCTGGTATTCCCATGTCTCAGAATTTTCCACAGTTTATTGTAATCCTCACAGTCAATGGCGTTGGCATAGTCAATAAAGCAGAAATAGATGTTTTTCTGGAATTCTCTTGCTTTTCTGATGATCCAGTGGATGTTGGCAATTTGATCTGGTTCCTCTGCCTTTTCTAAAACCAGCTTGAACATATGAAAGTTCACAGTTCACAGTTCTTTTCAGTTTAACCTTTAATTTAAATATAGATGTGAACAGTTCAAGTAATCGAAACTCCTGTATAGTGTTTGTACATTTTTCCTATGAAAAATCATCACACCCAAATGTTATGACAGGAAGGGCACTAAAACCATCAAGTTGGCTGAGAAGAAATAGAATGTTCAATGGCATACCATTATTAGAAGGCAGCCTTCTCTCTGATTACTCAAACCTACCAGTACCTTTTCTGGTACACTTTTACTTAGACTGATAATTTTTCCTCTCCAGGGAAACAGAACAGGATTTATAAAAATAGTTCTGTGTATTTCCTAAAGTTTGTGTAAAATTTATAATATTGAAATTCAATTGTGAGGGGGAAGTATTTCTGGCGTAGTGGAGTAAAAACATTCAAAAATACACATCTCTATAATAGCAAAAATAACTTTGGCAAAAATTATCAAATTCAACTTTTTCAGAACTCTATTTACGGTAAAGAAACTGCCTGCAATGTGGGAGGCCTGGGTTCAATCCCTGCGTTAGGAAGACCTCTGGGAGGAGTTCATGGCAATTCACTCCAGTATTCTTGCCTGGAGAATTCCAACCACAGAGGAGCCTGGCAGGCTACAGTCCATGGGGTCACAAAGAGTCAGACAGGACTGAGTGACTAAGTACAGAAATTAACCAAAGGTTTGCAACAATTCAAGGAGTGTTCATTCAAAAAAAGTGGATAAATCTTGGTGAGAACAGCAAGCTTTGTGGCATTTTAACTTGCCCAGCTCCCATACCTCTTTTCTCAGCTCTGTAATAGCGGGATCTAACTACAGTTAAGATCCTAGCCTAGGCTTGGAGTTATAATACTCAGAAATATGGTAAAATAAAAATAGCCTGGCTGGCTATAGTCCATAGGGTTGCAAATAAAGCTAGTTACACATCAGGTTTACTACTCTAGGTGTTGAAGTTACATAGACTAAAATTACATGTATTCTGACCTCAGGAAATTTTTACATTTTAATAAAGACAACAAATCTATAAACAGACAGTTAAAGCACAAATATAAGAAAAATGCCCTACTAGAAGTTCATATGGTATGTAATAAGAACCACTCAAATCTGCCTGATGAATCAGAAAAATGCCTGATGCATGTAGGTGTTCATTAAATATTATATGTGAATTGCTGGATAAGGAGAATTGCTGCATTTACTTCTGAAGAAGTTTTAGAGCAGAATTTCCCAGGAAAGTGGCAAAGGAATGGCAAAGAGGTACAGAGAAATACACTAGGTTTAGGACGTATCACCAGTTCAGTGCGCCTAGAGGGTGGGATGGGAATTGAGGTAGGAGATGAGACTGAAAGTTGGAGGGATAACTGGTAATTAAAGACAGAAGCAGGAACTACAGGGACTTCTTTGTTAAGCTTCCTTTGGACCCTCAAGGCCAACTTGGATAAGCACAGAATTCTGTGGGAGGCAGCAAAGCACAGAAGGACCCGAAGGCGTATTTGACATCCTCTTAGTTGGCTCTACAAGGACAGTTCTGATATAGCCTGATAGGATCATGGCTTTATTTTATTTTTAGGGCATATAAATAGTCTTACTCCATTTGTGTGTGTGTGTCTTTCTGTTTTTATGTCTATCTCCTGGTACAGGTAAAAATACCGTTAATGGAGTAAGTTGTCACATTTCACTCATAAAAGTGGCCAAGTCTTTTAAAGCTCTAGTAAATCATAATGATGAGGGTAGGGGAACAGATAATTTCATATGCTACTAAAGCATATGCACACTATGATAACTTTCCTAGAGAGAAACTGGGTAACATTTACTTAATTCTTTGTGCTCCCACAATTACACTTCATCCAGGGGGAGATAAAGTTTATCACAGAGTTACTATGTCAAAAAACAGGAAGCAACTCAGTTTCACTAGTCATTATACTGGGAAAGACATTTATCTCTCTGTGGTTGTTTTCTCACATATAAAATAGCTTATAATAATAGTACCAACTTCAAAGGATTATTGTGATTATTAAATCAGTTAAGATATAGAAATTAATTAGAATAATTTCCTGTATGCTATAATGTATTAAAATAAGAAGTATTCATGAAAACACCACCAATGTTTATACACATATGTATTCACATATATATATAATTATTTTTTTAAAAGATTATGAATTACTTTTATAAACAGAAAAATGTCAGTAATAAAAATGATCATAATCCACTGTAATAAAGATCAGTTCATTTACAAAATGAAACTAAAGTTTTCTCTATTTCAAATTAGAAGTGGTCTTCTTTTATTATGGATTGCTATATAAATATTAGATAAAAATAAGACAAAAGTATAAAAGAAATGCAAAAATAAATCTGACTTAAAGCTTCATTCTTTTAAAATACTGTATGTCAAGTTATCTTTACTTGAGTTAAGGATTCCTTCCTTGCTTTAGCTATCAATAGATGACTTTCATTGTATTTTTTATGAAACAAGAGTGACATCCAGAGGCCAAGTCAACAGCAACTATATATAATAAACAGCTTCTTGATTATTATTTAGCTCAAAAACCACACTGGATCTCATTAAGATTGCATGGAAGATGAACAAATGCAACCACTTGAGTTTAATGTATAATTTCAAAATGTCATTCAGTTAAGCTTAGATATGTATATGTGTATGTATCTATTTGAATCTAATTGTTACATATATAATTTGAAATTTAAAGCAATAATACTTTGACTTTATATGTCCAAGGTTGACCCTAAAATAAATTTAACAATAATTAATCAGAGAAAGGCAGAAGAAAAAGCTGTATGTTAATAAAACAGTAAGAACATCATACCTTCTATCAAAATTAGACAGTCATTTGAAAGTGGAAGAATACCATTATTTTTCACAAAATGAATAGCTACTTTTCGTTCTCCTTGATCTTTAGTGGTCCAGACCTTCGAATTATATAAGGATGTATTTTGTAGCTTTGTATCTGGGGTTGTGCTTGCACCCTCTTGGAAAATCTTATCCAAATCAATCTCATGTGGCACTTCTTGCCTAAAATCATCAACAATGGAATAACACACACAAAAAACTGGTATAAGCTTAGAAAGTCAAATTTAACAAATTATCCAATTAAAAGAACGTTTATATGCTTATGAACCATCTACTTATTTTAAAATATTGAGATAATTCACTCTGCAAATTAAAGGACTCATTCAATAGAAAGATATTTGATGACATTTCATGGCTAATTAGATCCATATCATAATTACATTAACAACCACCAATTTCCTTGCCTGGCTCTGTGATACCAAGATTATGTATAATTATTTCTTCACCAAACTGTTCTCCTCTGTAAGGAATGCTAAACCTCCCAGTAGGAACCCCATCTTCACTCCAGCTAAACATTCATTACCATTTAAGTAACTTCACTTTCATAGAGTACCTATTTTATAGACCAGTATTGGATTCCTTTTAATCTAGAATATAATTTTTTAATATCATATGGCAAAATATGATACAGTAGAAACTGCATAATCTGGAATCAAAAGGTCTATTTCCTTTCCTGGTTCTGTCACCAATCAAGTGTGTAACTTTAGGTAAAATCTCTTAACCTTACTAAATGTTCTGCTTTTTGGTGTTGTTTTTAATATTTATCTAATTTTACAGCTATGAGTGGTCTTTGTTGCTGCACATGGGCTTTCTCTAGTTGTGACGAGTGGGGGCTACTCTTTGTTGGAGTGCATGGGCTTCTTAGGAGATTCCCTCGTGGCTCCCCTGGTAAAGAATCCGCCTGCAATACGGGAGACCTCGGTTTGGTCCCTGAGTTAGGAAGATCCCCTGGAGAAGGGAAGGGCTACCCACTCCAGTAATCTGGCCTGCAGAATTCCAGGGGTCGCAAAGAGTTGACACAACTGAGCAACTTTCACTTCACTATGGGCTCTCACTGCGGTGGCTTCTCTTGCCGAGGAACACGGCCTCCAAGGTGCACAGGTTCAGGAGCTGGACATGGGCTCAGTAGTTGGGGCGTGTGGGCCCCAGAGTGTAGGTTCAGCAGCTGTGGCACACAGGCCTAGCTGCCCTCAGGCATGCGGCTACCTCCCGGACCAGGGATTGAACCAGTGTCCCTTGCAATACAAGGTGGATTCTTAACCACTGGACTACCAGGAAAGCCCCAAACCTCTTAACTTTTCTGAAATGTTTTCCTCATTTGTTGAAAAAAGGATCATACAGGGTGGCTTTGTTTGGTAAAGTTATATAATTTTACAGAATTTTACCAACTATAATTTGATAATACTTAAAGATCTAAAATCTGTATTTATACTCTATTATTTCAAGCCCAGATAGATAGAAAACAATCCCTTGTTTTGCAGAAGGAGATCTGATGATTAAAAATCTCCACAAACAGTACTATACTTACATTTCAGAGGGGAAACCATATGTATATTAGTGTATAGAGCACACCCACAAACAACATGTCCAAATGACGATGCACATACATGTATTTGTTACATACACAGAGGGAAGAGAGTCAGATTGCATAAATAGAGAAAGAGGGATTAAAAATAATTTTCAGAATATGTCTTGAGTCAATAATAAGTACATATATATTCTAATGTCCTATATATTTATTTACTCATTTATATAAAAATTGATGCTTAGAGTAAAGATTTTCAGAAACTGAGAAATCCTCAATTACTAACAAAAGTTTAAATTATGTTCACTGCATTGTAGTTATTAAGCAGGACAGGAGTATTTCCAACAAGGTACTCTCTAACAATTAAGAATTTAAACTAACCAGAAATCTTATCGATTTAAGAATTTTACTTAATAATGGTTTACTTTCAAGATTTTTTGTTACAAATGAGAAAGTCTGTTCAAATATTTTCATAGTCTGTTACTTGTTTGCATGTATCACAGCTACTAAATTGAATTTCAGATCTAAAAATAGCACCTTTTTTTTTTTTTTACTATTATGAAGAAATATCAAAAGGATTTATCTTTAAGGAATTAAGTGTTTTCTCTTAAAAAGATTACAATTGTTTCAAAATACAATAGATTTAAACCATAACTGATTCACTTCCAGTACTTAAACTTATACATAAGAAAATATATATACACAAATTTTATGAAACAAAAACTTTGGTTTTATTACAGAAAATACTTACAGTAAGTGACACTTAGGACAATAAAGTTTGACAGACTGAAAGAGTCTTTTGGGCTTATATGATCTCAGTTTTGCTCGGATACGATATTGTTGAGGAGCGTTTTGCTTCAAAATAGCACACAGTGGGGTTTTCTCCAAATATTGATGACCTGTAAGTACTACAAAGAATTTTTGGATTAAGTTAGATAATCTATAAGGATATTAATGTATTCATGACAAGAATCTCCATGAAAAAATAAACAATCAAATATAATTAAGTTGTATTAACCTTGGTAACATTTTGCCACATCATCTCTGTCATTTTCTCAGTCTCTCCATATAAATATATATGCATATATATATATAAATCTTACAGATACATGATTCACATATGCATAATTTCACATATATATATATATATATATATGAATTATTTGATGGTAATTTCCAAACATTATACCCCTTTATCGCTAACTACTTTCAGTGTATATTTTACAAGAACAAGGAATTTTATTAACATATTATAATGCAATTTTCAACATCAAAACACTTACCAATGATTATTACTGAATCAACAGATGTTCAAGTTTCTCCAACTAGCCCCATAACGCTCCTATTTAGCATTTTATTTTCAGATCCAGGATCTAATCCTGAACAACGCATTGTATTTATTTCTTCTGTCTCTTTGGAGTCCTTCAGTGTAGAATAATTCCTAAGCTTTTCTTTGTCTTTCAAGACATTGATATACTGAGAATTTGAGGCTGTTTATTTGGGTGTGTCTGGTTTTTACCATGATCAGATATCAGTTATGCATTTTTGGTAGGAATACTACCATATAAGTGATACTGTGGCCCTCTCAGAGCATATGAAGAGGCACATGTATCAGTATTTTCATCCCTGGGGATGTGAACTTTGCTCAGCTCATTAAGGTGGTGTTCAGTAGGTTTCTCCACTATAACCTTATTATTTCCCCCTCCATAATTAATAAGAAAGCATTTGATAAAATATAAATATCCCAATTTCATCAAATGTTTAGAATCCTGCTAGCTTAGGATCCACCAATGATAGGCAACTGGCAATTTTCTTAATAAATTATCACTATCATGATTAAAAATGGTGACTTTGTGTCCTAACTTGATAATTTCTTTTATATTTATCAGCTGCCATTCTACTTAAAATAACAGTTTTCTATTCAACCTCATTTATTTGTTTTCTTCTTTATTTACTCTCCATATGGACTAATAGATTCCTACTTTACTCAAGCAGTACTATCCCATCACTAATAATTTTAATTTTGACACTTAAATTGCACCAGATTTGACAACTGTCACCATTAACCTGGTGGACTTCTCTACTTTATGGCACAATAAGATGTTCCAGAATCATCTTACAATTCTGCTTCCCAATTCTGGAATATGCTATTTCTCCAAGAAGCCCTGATTGGGGATATTATTTATAAATTAAGATCTGAATACTAGGTGTGCTTATTGCTACTGGGTGTCATTGTTTCCATTAGAGCTGGGGCACATATGCATGTATGTTTACACCTATACTTACACATATGAGCCTGTATGTGTATGAATATATACATGAGCAAATACATAATATACAAACACACATATATATCTATTTATCTGTCTCTAATAACATGAGTGCATACTAACACCTCCAATTCTAATATAATACCATAAGCTTCTTTCTACTAGCCCTCTGCCATTTCATAGTTATACATCCTTTCTCCAGTCATGAAAAACTCATGTTTTTATAATAGTATATTACAGAATTTTACTTAATACATTATGTGGAGAAATATTTTCTTAATTGTTCTATTTCACCTTAGCTGAAGTAACAGACTACCACACAATTGCACTCATCTCACATGCTAGTAAAGTAATGCTCAAAATTCTCCAAGCCAGGCTTCAGCAATACGTGAACCATACACTTCCAGATGTTCAAGCTGGTTTTAAAAAAGGCAGAGGAACCAGAGATCAAATTGCCAACATCCGCTGGATCATCGAAAAAGCAAGCGAGTTCCAGAAAAACATCTATTTCTGTTTTATTGGTTGTGACAAAGCCTTTGACTGTGTGGATCACAATAAACTGTGGAAAATTCTGAAAGAGATGGGAATACCAGACCACCTGATCAGCCTCTTGAGAAACCTGTATGCAGGTCAGGAAGCAACAGTTAGAACTGGACATGGAAAAACAGACTGGTTCCAAATAGGAAAAGGAGTACGTCAAGGCTGTATATTGTCACCTGCTTATTTAACTTATATGCAGAGTGCATCTTGAGAAACGCTGGGCTGGATGAAGCACAAGCTGGAATCAAGATGGCCAGGAGAAACATCAATAACCTCAGATATGCAGATGACACCACCCTTATGACAGAAAGTGAAGAGGAACTAAAGAGATTCTTGATGAAAGTGAAAGAGGAGAGTGAAAAAGCTGGCTTAAAGCTCAACATTCAGAAAACTAAGATCATGGCATCCGGTCCCATCACTTCATGGCAAATAGATGGGGAAACAGTGGAAACAGTGGCAGACTTTATTTTTTTGGGCTCCAAGTCACTGCAGATGGTGATTGCAGCCATGAAATTAAAAGACGCTTACTCCTTGGAAAGAAAGTTATGACCAACCTAGATAGCATATTAAAAAGCAGAGACATTATTTTGCCAATAAAGGTCCGTCCAGTCAAGGCTATGGTTTTTCCAGTGGTCATGTATGGATATGAGAGTTGGACTGTGAAGAAAGCTGAACACTGAAAAATTGATTCTTTTAAACTGTGGTGCTGGAGAAGACTCTTGAGAGTCCCCTGGACTGCAAGGAGATCCAACCAGTCCATCCTAAAGGAGATCAGCCCTGGGTGTTCATTGGAAGGACTGATGCTGAAGCTGAAACTCCAATACTTTGGCCACTTCATGCCAAGAGTTGACTCATTGGAAAAGACCCTGATGCTGGGAGGGATTGGGGGCAGGAGGAGAAGGGGACAACAGCAGATGAGATGGCTGGATGGCATCACCGACTCGATGGACATGAGTTTGAGTAAACTCCAGGAGTTGGTGATGGACAGGGAAGCCTGGTGTGCTGTGATTCATGGGGTTGCAGAGAGTCGGACACAACTGAGCGACTGAACTGAACTGAACTGAAGTAACAGAAGTTGGATATCTGATGAATTGATTATTATTGCTAACATTAAAATTTTGGGGAATATTTTAAGTAGCTCCTTTTTGGGTATACCATTAAATACATAGTGTGGATTGATTAAAACTAATACTAGATAAAATATTTGATACTCTGCTATGTAATGGGGCTTATTTTTATAAATATGCCTTACAAATTTTATAGATAAATGATATAAAAATATACACTCAATTTAAAAGCATATATCTTTCTGGGTTCCATTTTATGCCACTTAGCATGAGGTAGAGGAATAAAAGATAAACATGGGTACGTTTTTGTTCTCATGGATATGTGTTCTCAACATTAGACAGTGATAAGTGAAAGTCACTCAGTCGTGTCTGACTCTTTGTGACCCCATGGACTATACAGTCCATGGAGTTCTCCAGGCCAGAATACTGGAGTGGGTAGCTGTTCCCTTCTCCAGGGGATCTTCCCAACCCAGGGATCGAACCCAGGTCTCCCACATTGCAGACAGATTCTTTACCATCTAAGCCACAAGGGAAGCCCAATGATGAGTTCCTTATTAAATTTAAAGACAGACTTCATTATGCTTATTATTGTGTCTCAATTTCAAAGATGAAAATGGTCTTACTGGTAGCTGAGAGTTGTTGACATCTTTCGACTTCATATAGTGATACTGATCCAGAGCCTATTAGGAAAAAGGAGAGAATTATATTTGAAAATCCATTAAAAGCTCAATGTGGCAATGAAAACTATAAAACATTACTGAGAGAAACTGAAGAAAATTTAAGTCAATGGAGAAATTTGTTTATGGATTCATGTCATTTGTTCATGGAATGGAAAGTTCAATATTGTAAATAACTGATATTCTTCCCAATTGATCTGTAGTTTCAATGAAATCTTAATCAAAACTGCATAGGCTTTATTATAGAAAGAGACAAGTGGATTCCATCACTTAAGTGAAAATGGCAAGGAATTTAAAATTTAAACATTCTAAATTTCTTGTTTAGAATCCTAAACAAATACTGAACTGTAGATAATGATATTCATTCACTGAAGTGTTTAGGAGGTGTACTTACATCTGCAAATTACTTTGAAATGTATCAAAAACTAAAACAAACTGATGGATTAAAAAAGAGATAAAAGATACAGCAAAGAGATTAAAATGTTAACTGGAGAAACATGGTGGGAATACAAACGTTGACTGAACAACTGTTTCAACTTTTCTATATGCTTGAAAGTTTTTCTTATGTTGAAATAGTACACTGTGATGGAAATAAGGGATAAGTAGATAAAATAATAAATTTACTAAATTTAATAGGATGACTTGAGGAATGCCATAAAATGTAATTTTACTTAAACAAAACAGCAAAAATAGTGACCACAGCAATACATTTTAATGATGCTTTCTAAAATGAAGAATTGAAGACTTAAAAAAAGTATTCACATTTTGCACTCATATTAGCTTACCACATTTTATTACATATAATAGTATATTTTTATAATTTATTATATGAAACATATACAAATATATGGATTATTTGTTCCTCTTCAAAATCACTATTAAATGGCACAAGGACCCATGGTAAGAGAATCTGCATGGACACATTAAGCTGGAAAACTATTATTTCAAAGAATCTGATTACTTAATACTTGCTATTCTGCATGAAGTGAAACAATGTAAAAGCCTGATTAGTAAATAAATAATAAGAAAATAAGAGAAAAGATGTGCAAAATTGTATTAAAACCGTCTCCCACAGACTGATAAGAATAAAGATAAAGAGCTCAACAGAAAATCAGGTAAAGAGTAAGAGCAAACAATTCAAAGAAGTAAGAAGGGTCGATAAATATAAGATTTTTTAAGTTTACAAGTACTCAGGGAAACTAAATATACCTAACACCTGCCAAACTGAAAAAAGTACACATATTGTTAAAGCAATACCACTGACAGTTTGAGGAAGGGACATGCTCCCACACTGTTATTTGCATTTGAATTCTATGACATTTTGGCATATAATCTGGTGTCATCTTTGAAAATAACATGTGTTTACTCTTTGATCCTTCAACCCCACCTTTACGAATTTTAGAGAAAAAATAAGCTTGAATGTACAACTGTTCAAGGATGTTTATTAAAGCATTATTTGTAAGAGTAAGAAACTGAAAACAACCGTCTATCAAATAGAAAATGGCTGAATTCATTATATTAGATTAATGTAAAATATAATGCAGCTATTAAAAGAATGAGTTTGAGTTATATGAATTAGTCCAGAAAGAGGTCTATAATCTATCATTAAAGAAAACAATCAGCATACTAAGGTCTCACTTTTGTGAAAATTTTAAACAGAGGAAGAAGATATACATGTTCATATAGAAGTATGTATATTTTTATAAACATGAATGGTTTGAAGAATTCATAGTCAACTGTTATCTTTCCCTCAGCAAGTGGGAATAAAGGCATGGGAAAGCTATGTAACTTGATACTGTCATATGTACTACTTCTGTAATTTGAAAATAATCAGAAAAACATTTTAGGAGAAAAGAGATTTCAAAAAGTATAATTATAAATCACATTGGCTCTAAATGATTGTCAACTGAAGTAAACTGGCCTCATAATGGGTAGTTCAAGTAGTCACAGATTAGGCTAAAATGCTGTCATCAAGGTGCTAGGAAATATGAAGAATTTTAAAGCACATAAAATGAAGAAATAAACATGGACAAAACAACCAAATTGCCAGCATTTGAATGGCACTGACTTTGCCATCAGTTAATAGTAAGGGAGGTTGGGCAAACTATATGATTCCCATTACTCAAAGCCTCAATTTCCTTTCTGCAAAAGGGAAGAACAGCAACCTCACAGGAGTGAGGTTAGGATTAAATAATGACAGTTAGCACTTATTTAGTGCCTATCAAGTCACAGATGTTAATTTTCATGCTTATTATTACTGATATAGATAGAAAGAGCATAAATATTCATTAAACAGATCACAGTAGGGAAGAAGTTAGATTGTAGGAAAAAAAAAACAATCATACGGGATAGAAACATGACATAGATTTTGAAGCTCAGAATGTACAAGCAAATACTGAGACAAAATGGTAAAGGAAAAATTATTACAGATTTAGCAAATTTTTAAAATTTATATTTGAATAGCCATCTATTCAGGTAGATAATAATATAAATATACCACCAATTATCTGTTAATATTTTAAAATTAGGTACTTGATTAATTCAATACAACTGAGAACTCTTAAGATATGTATGATCAAAAAATACTTGGGCTATTGGAAGTAAAGCAGCAAAAATAACCTTTGTCCCTTTGAGAAACTAACAAGCAAACAGTTGACTGGGAAATGAATACAGATTTTTAATAAGTTATATATATTTTTGTTGTTAGTGTTGTTTGCACACTAAAGCTGTGCAGGACTCTTTGCCACCTCATGGGCTATAGCTCATCAGGCTCCTCAGCTCAGCTCAGTCGCTCAGTCGCGTCAGACTCTTTGTGACCCATGGACTGCAGCACGCCAGGCTTCCCTGTCCATCACCAACTCCTAGAGCTTGCTCAAACTCATGTTCACTGAGTCAGTGATGCCATCCAACCACCTCATCCTGTCAGCCCCTTCTTCTCCTGCCTTCAATTTTTCCCATCACCAGGGTCTTTTCCAGTGAGTCAGTTCTTTACATCAGGTGGCCAAAGTATTGGAGCTTCAGCTTCAACATCAGTCCTCCAATGAATATTCAGGACTGATTTCCTTTAGGATCTATTGGTTTGATCTCCGTGCTGTCCAAGGGACTCTCAGGAATTTCTCCACCACCACAAAGTAATCTCTCTGCTTTTTAATATGCTGTCTAGGTTGGTCTCCCTTCATGGCATCTGGTCCCATCACTTTACGGCAAATAGATGGGTAAACAGTGGAAACAATGACAGACTTTATTTTCTTGGGCTCCAAAATCAGTGCAGATGGTGACTGCAGCCATGAAATTAAAAGACACTTTCTCCTTGGAAGAAAAGCTATGACCAACCTGGACAGCATATTAAAAAGAGAGACATTACTTTGCCAACAAACATTCGTCTAGTCAAAGCTATGGTTTTTCCAGTAGTCATGTATGGATGAGTGATAAAGAAAGCTGAGTGCTGAAGGACTGATGCTTTGGAACTGTGGTGTTGAAGAAGACTATTGAAAGTCCCCTGGACTGCAAGGAGTGATCTCCAGTCCATCCTAAAGGAAATGAGTCCTGAATATTCATCCCTGAATATTCAAGGGACTGATGCTGAAGCTGAAACTCCAATACTTTGGCCACCTGATGTGAAGAACTGACTCATTTGAAAAGACTCTGATTCTGGGAAAGATCGAAGGCAGGAGAAAAAGAGGACGACAGAGGATGAGATGGTTGGATGGCATCACCGACTCTACTGGACATGAATTTGAGCAAGCTCTGGGAGTTGGTGATGGACAGGGAAGCCTGGCGTGCTGAAATCCATGTGGTCACAAAAGTCGGACATGACTGAGCGACTGAACTGAGGTTGGTCATAACTTTTCTTCCAAGGAGCAAGCATCTTTTAATTTCATGACAGCAGTTACCATCTGCAGTGATTTGGGAGCCCGAGAAAATACAGCCTGTCACTGTTTCCCCATCTATTTGACATGAAGTGATGGGACTGGATACCATGATCTTCACTTATTGAATGTTGAGTTTTAAGCCAGCTTTTTCACTGTCCTCTTTCACATTCATCAAAAGGCTCTTACGTTCTTTTTCACTTTCTGCCATAAGGGTGGTGTCATCTGCATATCTGAGGTTATTGATTTTCTCCCGGCAATCTTGATTCTAGCTTGTGCTTCATTCAGCCTGGCATTTCGCATGACGTACTCTGCATATAAGTTAAATAAGCAGGGTGACAATATACAGCCTTGACGTACTCCTTTCCCAATTTGGAACCATTCTGCTTTTCCGTGTCCAGTTCTAACTGTTGCTTCTTGACAGGCATACAGATTTCTCAGGAGGCAGGTCAGGTGGTCTGGAATTCCCATCTCTTTAAGAATTTGTTTAGGAAGCATCACTACAAAAAAAGCTAGCGGATGTGATGGAATTCCAGTTGAGCTATTTCAAATCCTAAAAGATGATGCTATTAAAATACTACACTCAATATGCCAGCAAATCTGGAAAACTCAGCAGTGGACACAGGACTGGAAAATGTCCGTTTTCATTCCAATCCCAACAGGTTCCTCTGTCCATGGGATATTTTCAGGCAACAATACTGGAGTGGGTTGCCATTTCCTTCTCCAGGGGATCTTCCTGACCCGAGAATCAAACCCATGTCTCCTGCATTTCCTGTATTGGTAGGTGGATTCTTTACCACTGAGTCACCTACAAAGCCCAATAGGTATATATACACACACATAAATGTATATACATAAATACTAATATAACCCAAATCAAGTAATCCTTACCACTCCAATTTGAAAATGTAACTACATAATTAAGGGAGGAATTATGTTTATCTTTGTATTAGGACATGTAAAGGTTTAGCATGTCTCTTTATAATGAATATCAATTTAACAAGTAAAAAAGGAGATTGGAAGGTATTAAAAAAGAGAATTTATGTTGATGTAGTAATTTTACTTAACAGAAACTAAACTGGCAGCATCAAAAATCACCCTTAGTTCTTAGGGGTATGGAATTAACAGATATACACCACTATATATAAAAACTGGTAAATAACCAGAATTTACTGTAGAGCACATGGAACTATATTCAATATCTTGTTAATAACCTATAATGTAAAAGAATCTAAAGCTGTACACCCGAAACTAACACAATATTATAAGTCAACTACAGTTAGGTAATTTATTAAAAAACTGTCCTTACTTGAAATGTTTGAAAAGCTGTCCTCTTGCTCTGATTGACATACACCAACAAAACTCTGGTTGGGGGGCAAGTGTGCAGATTCTAAAATCCTATAATTGAAAGAATACAACTTTTAATTGCATAAAGCACAATCAAACAATGGTCAGTTTACCCTTAGAAAGCAAGAGCTTAGTGAAATTACGTGAAAATTCTGTGTGCGTTTGTGTGTGTGTACGCATTCTGCAGTAGGTCTATAGCTTTCATCAGATTATCAAGGGATTCCAAGAGACTCTAAAATGTAAAAAACCCAAGTCTAGAAAGATACAAGTGAAATAGTGGGATCATGAAATACTGCAAATGAGCTGGGTATATAATGCATGTCATTCTAAGTCAGAACAATCTCACTCTAGACTCAAGCAATGAAATACTATATGGCTATATATTGCAATCTAAGAAATAAAGTAGGAAAACTGATATAAGGTTATTAAAATAGCTAATTTCATTGATGTTAAAGTCATCTTGATTTCAATATGTTAAAACTTAGAAAACAGTTTTGTCACTTCAATTTACTGAACAGGATATTTTCTATATCTCTTTGAAAATGGATATTTTCTATATCTCTTTGAAAATATGCAGAAGACTTTTTATTTCCCCAGAGTATAGATCAAAGAGTTTCTACATACAATGACTAATAGGAATACTTCAGGATAAAGGGAAGTACAAGTGTAGCAGGATTTAAGGTACTATTCACTTTCTGGGAACACCTAAAAGTTTTAAAAATATGACACCATGAAATATTTCTGCTATCTATTTTCTTAGGTATATACACTTTAAAAAGGCATAATTTTTTTCCACAGAGGACCAAGTACATTTGGTATCCTAGGTATATATATAAAGTTTTCCAAATTTTAGCTAAGCTCCAGTTTCCACTGTTTGTTTCCATACTTAGACAAGGTAGAAAATGGTAGAACATAAAGTGCAAAGAGTAAAGGTAAGAAAGAATATAAGTAAATGTTGGAAAACTAAAGACTATTCAGCTCTGCTACTGTTTAGCTATTTGAACCGACAATCACTTGATTTGTTTCATTTGGTTCAGCTATTTAAAAAAAATGAATAATGGCACAGAAGGCGCTGAGAATGAATTACAAGGGATTCATCAGATTCCCTCTCCTCACCTCAGAACTACATTATCTTAGAAATCAGCTTAATTAATACCTTATTTACAATTTCTAGATAGGTATATAATAGGCTTACTTTTTCAGCTGATCCACATCGGAGTTATTTTCAGGCAAGACTCTGATTCCCCGACCATAACTTGTGCCTCCATGGAGATGAAATTCTAGGGCTAAAGACGTTGCTAGGTTCTCTGAACTGACTGACTGAAGTTTGGTATGGAGGCTATAAATTCTAAGGAAGCTTCCAACCTAAAAATAGATGGTTTATTATTTAGAAAATGGAGAAAACTAAAAAAAAAATCTCTGATATAATATTTAACAACTAATATGGGGTACAGACCAATAACCAGGGGTGTAGACCCATCAGAAAGGGAACTGGTATACTACACTGATGTATACTCAATATCAGCCCCAAGGACACCATATTGAAACCAAAATGTGTGTATGTATACACACATATGCATGTATAGATATGTATGTATGCATTTTTTCAAATCCAAAGGCACATTTTTATTTTGGGGATATGAAGACATGAAATATGACTGAGTCTTAGCTCTGGTAAAATACAGTAGCTTAGAAACCTATTACCTAAATCAAATCCAAGCCCCCTATTTGATTAGGGTTTTGGAAATAACCTGCTTTAACTAATTTAAGGGATCACTGACGGCTGGCTCACTCAGCTGTGTTTGACTCTTTGCTACCCCATGGGCAGCAGCCCACCATGCTCATCTGTCCATGTGATTCCCTAGGCAAGAACTATGGAGTCGGTTGCCATTTCCTTCTCCAGAGAATCTTCTTAACCTGGGATCAAATCCGTGTCTCCTGTATTGCCAGGTGGATTCTTTACCATTAAGCCCACTGGGAAGCCCAATTTAAGGTAATATTTAATTAAATATGACCAATAAAATACTCTCATCATGAGAATACTAGAATATTTTCAAATGCATTATTATATCAAAATAATAAACTTCCTCTATTCCACAAGTTTGGGCTTCCAAGGTGGCTCAACGGTTAAGAATTCACCTGCCAGTTCAAGAGATGCAAGAGACACAGGTTCAATCCCTGGGTTGGGAAGATCTCCTGGAGTAGGAAATGGGAACCCACTCCAGTATTTTTGCCTGGGAAATGCCATGGACAGAGGAGTCTGGTGGGCTACAGTTCATGGGGTCTCAAAGAGTCTGAAACAACTGAACAACTTTGAATGCAGCACACATTCCACAAGTCTGATGGAAAGAAAACATTTGTAAAAACAATTTCTGTCAGGACACCATAATGTGAAACACATTCCGTGAGTTCAAAGGTATTATTAAACAATATATTTTTAAACTAAATGTCCTGTTATTAATTTTAGATGTTTTGCCAAACTTAGTCTTAAAAATTTAACTCAGATGACCATTATATCTATTACTGTGGGCAAGAATGCCTTAGAAGAAATGGAGTAGCCATCAGAATCAACAAAAGAGTCTGAAATGCAGGACTTGGATGCAATCTCAAAAACGACAGAATGACCACTGTTTGTTTTCAAGCAAACCATTTGATATCACAGTAATCCAAGTCCATGCACCAACTAGTAATGCTGAAGAAGCTGAAGCTGAACGGTTCTATTAAGACCTACAAGACCTTCTAGAACTAACACCCAAAAAAGATGTCCTTTTCATTATAGGGAACTGGAATGCAAAAGTAGGAAGTCAAGAGATACCCAGAATAACAGGGAAATTGGGCCTTGGAGTACAAAACGAAACAGGGCAAAGGCTAACAGAATTTTGCCAAGAGAATACACTGGTCTTAGCAAACACCCTCTTCCAACAACACAAGAGAAGACTCTACACATGGACATCACCAGATGGTCAATACCGAAATCAGATACATTCTTTGCAGCCAAAGATGGAGAAGCTCTATACAGTCAGCAAAAACAAGACCGGGAGCTGACTGTGGTTTAGATCATGAACTTCTTATTGCCAAATTCAGACTTAAATTAAATAAAGTAGGGAAAACCACTAGACCATTCAGGTATGACCTGAATCAAATCCCTTATGATTATACAGTGGTAGTGAGAAACAGATTCAAAGGATTAGATCTGATAGACAGAGTGCTTGAAGAACTATGGACGGAGGTTTGTGACACTGCACAAGAGGCAGTGATCAAGGCCATCCCCAATAAAAAGAAATGCAAAAAGGCAAAATGGTTGTCTGAGGAAGCCTTACAAATAGCTGAGAAAAGAAGAGAAACTAAGGGCAAAGGAGAACAGGAAAGATATACTTATCTGAATGCACGGTTCCAAAGAATAGCAAGAATGCCCTCCTCAGTGATCAGTGCAAAGAAATAGAGGAAAATAATAGAATGGGAAAGACTGGAGATCTCTTTAAGAAAATCAGAGATACCAAGGGAACATTTCATGCAAAGATGGGCTCAATAGAGGACAGAAATGGTATGGACCTAACAGAAGCAGAAGATATTAAGAAGAGGTGGCAAGAATACACAGAAGAACTATACAAAAAGGATCTTCATGACTCAGATAACCATGATGGTGTGATCACTGGATTAGAGCCAGACAACCTGTATTGTGAAGTCAAGTGGGCCTTAGGAAGCATCACTATGAACAAAGCTAGTGGAAGTGTTGGAATTCTAGTTGAGCTATTTCAAATCCTAAAAGATGATGCTGTGAAAATGCTGCATTCAATATGCCAGCAAATTTGGAAAACTCAGCAGTGACCACAGGACTGAAAAAGGTCAGTTTTCATTCTAATCCCAAAGGAAGGCAATGCCAAAGAATGCTCAAACTACTGCACAATTGCACTCATCCCTCATGCTAGCAAGGTAATGCTCAAAATTCTCCAAGCCACGCTTCAACAGTACATGAACTGTGACCTTCCAGATGTTCAAGCTGGATTTAGAAAAGGCAGAGGAACAAGAGATTAAATTGCCAACAACTGCTGGATCATGGAAAAAGCAAGAGAGTTCCAGAAAAACATCTATTTCTGCTTTATTGACTATGCTGAAGCCTTTGACTGTGTGGATCACAATAAACTGTGGAAAATTCTTCAAAAGATAGGAATACCAGACTACCTGACTTGCCTCTTGTATGTAGGTCAGGAAGCAACAGTTAGAACTGGACATGGAACAACAGACTGGTTCCAAATAGGTAAAGGAGTCTGTCAAGGCTGTATGTTGTCACCCTGCTTATTTAAATTATATACAGAGTACATAATGCAAAATGCTGGACTGGATGAAGCACAAATGAAATGAAGATTGCCGGGAGAAATATCAATAACCTCAGATATGCAGATGACAGCACCCTTATGGCAGAAAGTGAAGAGGAACTTAAAAGCCTCTTGATGAAAGTGAAAGAAGACAGTGAAAAAGTTGGCTTAAAACTCAACATTCAGAAAACTAAGATCACGGCACCTGGTCCCATCACTCCATGGGCAAGTAGATTGGGAAACAATGGAAACAGTGACAGACTTTATTTTCTTGGGCTCCAAAATTACTGCAGATGGTGACTGCAGCCATGAAATTAAAAGACACTTGCTCCTTGCAAGAAAAGCTATGATCAATCTAGACAGCATATTAAAAAGCAGAGACATTACTTTGCCAACGAAGGTCCGTCTAGTCAAAGCTACGGTTTTTCCAGTAGTCATGTATGGATGTGAGAGCTGGACTATAAAGAAAGCTGAGTGCCAAAGAATTGATGCTTTTGAACTGTGGTGTGGAGAAGTCTCTTGAGAGTCCCTTGGACTGCTAGGAGATCAAACCAGTCCATTCTAAAGGAGATCAGTCCTGAATATTCGTTGGAAGGACTGATGCTGTAGCTGAAGCTACAGTACTTTGACCACCTGATGCGAAGAACTGACTCATTGGAAAAGACCCTGATGCTGGGAAAGATTGAAGGCAGGAGGAGAAAGGGACGACAGAGGATGAGATGGTGGGATGGCATCACCAATTCTATGGACAGGAGTTTGATCAAGCTCCGGGAGTTGCTTATGGACAAGGAAGCCTGGCATGCTGCAATCCACAGGATCACAAAGAGTCAGACATGACTGAGTGACTGAACTGAGTCCTAAATATACCTTTAATATAGAGTATTTGATACTCTCTTAAGAAGACTTAAAAAGAGATACACACAGAACATTATTAAAGCTACTGACATCTACTAAAGGAAGAAGCTGTATAACCTAAATCACATTTATTATAAATCAATTTCCCACCTCTGCTTATTACTGTCTCAGTTCATTGTATTTCTCATCATCACTCTCTCGATTTGATAGAGGAGAGAAATGGTGGGGGAAAGAAAAGGAGGGGGAAATCCACACTCCTTGAGCTACTTCTTCATTCTCAAGGATACTTTTCCCAAATAATCATGTGTTTTATAAAGAGGTAAACATTTAGTCTTTTCTTCTCTGACTTCTAACACTGACAGAACAGAAGGGGAGCAGGGTAAATAAACTCAAAGGAAAAAAACACAAAAGGAAAAAGAAAAAAAAGGATGACAAATTGACTTTCCTCATGGTCTCCAAAGTAAAGTAAGAAGAAAATATAAAATATATATCTATTTATGCACTTCTATCTCATTCTTTTTGAACATTTATTACTCTATAATTCTTTTTAACATACTCAATATATTAGAATAGTATTTGTATGTAATCTAAAAAGTTCTTAAGGGCAGACCCAGGTGAAAGATACCATATTCATAAGTGAAAAGCTTCAAAATATAATGATAATTTCCTAAGTAATTATTCTTTAAAATCAATGCAATTTCTGTCAAAATCCCCAGTGTCTTTCCTGCAACTGTAAAAACTGATCTGAAAGTGAATAGTTAAGTTAGTTTTGAAGACTGAACTAGGAGTGAGGGCTTAACCTATGAAGTATCATTTAAAAATAAAGGTATAAAAATTAAGACAGGCTGGTTTTAATGGAGACACACGTATGATCATGCATAAATCTTAGAAATATAATGTCAAAGGAGAAAAGCAATTTATAGAATGATAAATAACTATATGCATTTTTCAGAAAAAAATCATAAAATAAAAGCATACTAAACATGGTTGTACACACCTACATGTTAGGATAAATAAAAAGAGGATATTGGGAAGCAAAAAATTAGGATAAGCAGAAGTACAAAGAAGGTTCCACATGTAGAGTTTCATTTCTTAAAGTTAAAAGTACCTAAAATAAGTGTGCAAAACATTTATAAATATTAAGTTTGGGTGACAGACACATGGATGTTCATTTGTCTCTACTAATGCATTTCATAATTAAACAAAATCATATTTTAAAGATCAAGAGAGAATTTGTATATACATAGGTTATAAAAATGACAAGTTGCTATTTCCAGAAATTCCTTCTGGAGGCAGCATTGTATTTTTTTAAGCTTGCTAAATATACTATAAAATATGCCAGATGCTCTGTTAAAATAGACAAATACATAATAAATAGTCTTGTTGTTAATGTGGTAATATTCCAAAAATACAGGTGAGGGAATCATAACCCAAAAATTATAAAACACATTTCTAAACACTGTTATAAAAGTTATAACAGTTTTTGTTAATAAACAAAAAAAGCAAAACAAACTATTAAGAAATTATTATTCCTTTTCAAATAATTTAAATATTCCTTATAAACTTTCAAAACTTTCCCTTTAGGTTTAACATTTTTAATAACCTGTATATGTCTGAAAATAATCAAACTATAGTTCTTGGGTCACCGAATGCCAAACATACTAACTAGGTATATTTTATAATTATTTTTAAATTGTGTCAGAGTAAGTCTGGGGACTGAAAATACCCTGCTTTCATTTATAAACAAAATGTTTGAAATGTCATTATGTGTGTGTATGTGTATTAAACGTATAGGGAATGTGATATCTTACTTAAAAAGCAAATTTTCAGAAAAATGTTAAAAACGTTACCGCTAAAAAAACTTAAGTTGTAAAATGTATTGTACAGAGAATTCAATTATATCGTGCTTTATAACTGCCTTAACTGTTCTTTATTAAATATAATAAAAACCACATTTTTCCTGTTCCTACTTGACAAAAATACATGCATTCCATGCATTTCAATATACATATGCAATTTTAACCAGTTTTCTTCAAGCACTGATAAGAATTCATTGGCTATCAGTATCATTCGACTCTGGGGATTTCTTAAAGTAGTATGAAATGGTTGGTATGGAGGTTACTTCAGAACAAATAAAATATGCTATCAGTGTACATTCAATAAAAGCCTACAGTTATATTACTTTTATACAGATAAAATTCTTTCCATTTTTCTATTACATGACAGATAAATATGTCATGATATCTTTAGATAAAAATTAATTGCCTACATTTTCTTAATTATGTGTGCTCAGAGCACCCTCTAGTGGGTGAGATAAAGCAGCGAAAAGGGAGATGAAAAAAATTTTTTAAAATGTCAGGAGGCTCACTGATTCATCATTCATCAGAAGATAGTCTTCACTTCACCCTTACAATATGGAAAGCACTGTGGCAGGTACTGCTCAGGACAAGAGAGCGAGGAAGGAGAAGCAGGACAGGGAAGAGAATTAAACAGTCAAAGTCCAATTTTAAATGTAAATTTTTTCACTTGTAAAAGAACTCTACCTGTATCTTAAAAAGATCTTAGAATTGGCCTTATCATTATATTATTTTTGAAACTAATCAATGCAGATAAAATCAGGGAGAAGCATCAAAATATATCTTCAACCGTCAGTTTTCTGACATAAAGTATGAACACACCCACAAGGGAAAAAAAGTGCACTTATCACCTTCCTTGACCTGGACTTGGACCTAATTTATTGAGTTGGGTGGGCTTATTTGTAACATAATATGGAAGTGGAAATACTTCCTCTTCAAGAACATTTATTTGCAAAAAAGAAATTAGGCAGTAAAATTCATATCTAAAAAAACTGCAATTCACTTTCACTGTTTTCTTCCTATTAAGTTTGCTGTATAACTCCCTCAAGGTAGGATGGAAGCTTTATTTGCAATAAAGGAAATCATTTCTTTATACTGCTTAAGAGGATTAACTCTAGAAGCAGACACTGTACATTCAAATACAGGCTTCACCCAAGTGGCTGTTAAATCTTGGGCTTAACCTCCCTGAGTGCCTCAGTTTTCTCATTTGTAACACAGAAATGATAGTACCTACTGCCCGAAACAGTGCTAAATACATATGAAGTGCTTCATAAATGTTACCATTATGATTGCTATTATTAGTGATACTATTCTTGGCAAGAAAGGATACTTGCAAACATAAAATATAGTAAAACGAAGAAAAATATTCTTTAAAGTGTTATTAATAAACAAGAAGTGCCATAATTAAGCAGGATGCTTTTACCTAGAAAATTTTATCTCAAAAACTGAACAAATTCTAATAAACTGCATGATACACACAATATACAATATATTTTAGAGGTAGATTAACAATTTCTTAGACCAACGAGTACAAAGTTAAAGACTGGATTTTATCAAACCAACTAAAAAAGCTTAGCATTTTTAAAGTTTACAAATATTTCATACATCCTCCATCAGTTTCAGCAAATTTTATTGCAGGATGAAATTTTTCTTTCTTATTCTCATAGCAAAATTGGGCACAGCTTTAAGATATTCAGAAATGCTCTTAAATTTTAAAAAGTTGTTGAAGCCATTGTAATTTAATGTATCATCTAACAATTTATTTTAAACATGCATTTTACAAATTAGAAATTAAAGAAAAAATAAATTTGGAGTTAATTTCTGGACCTCAAATATCACCTACCATGTGATTTACCCTAAAATTAATAAAAATACAAAAGACAAACAAGTTTGCAATGTAACATCACCTTTAGAGATTTAGCCACTTGAACATGGTTATCATAGACTAAAATGTCTACTGTCAGATTCTGCAGCTGATGGATGCGACTTAAATCACCTTCAAGAGCAACGTCTTGTATTAAGACTCTCCAAGATGGGAATGGGGTCCTGGTGCCATCCCATACCTGTATAAGAGGCAGAACAAAATTTTTATGATCTTTTTATAAAACTGTGGAGGCTAAAAGAGGTTTATTTGCTGGTGATATAGCTTAAAAGTAATTAAATATATTCCCCCAAATATCTGGTAAGCTTTAAATATGATCTATATTTTTTCCTGATTGTACAAGGACTACATATGTAGAGGAAATGACTAAAATATAAGTAAAAAAATTCAAACTGAGCTTAGAAAAATGATTAACACATTGCTTAATTTTATTCTTTTTTCTTTTGTGTATTTATAATATATATGTCTTTTCCTTTTTACCAAACTTACATTCTACTCTGCTTTTATTTCTTACTTTACTGGTGGGTAGTTTTTCAAGCAACCTTATATTAGATGTAATGAACACGAATGAAAATCATGGGTCCTTGAAAAGGGAAAGGTATGTTGGATTGCTATTTAAGTTACCTTGAAACAGAGATGGGAAAGGACCGCAGGACAAGGATGCACTATCCCATCCTTAAGACCTGAACTAGCTTGTCCTGTGCTAAGGTTGGTAGAGATGACTGATGCTTTATTATGCTAAAAAGGCATTGCGAAAGACATTTAATAGAGGTGGGAATGGCCCTGCATGTCAGAAGTCTGGCTGTACAAGAGAAAACAAGCTACTTAAGTAGAAAACTGAACTGAACTGAAGTAGAAAACACATTTCTTTCTTTAACTGTTATTGCTTTTTTTTAGTTGATGTAGAGCTCATTTACAATGTGTTAGTTTCTGGTGTACAACAAAGTGATTCAGTCACACATGTGTGCGATCAGTTACACATGTGTGTGATCAGTTACACATGTGTGAGCACGCACATACATACACGTTACCTTTTTCATATTCTTTTCCATTGTAGGTTATTACAAGATATTGAATATAGCTCTCTGTGCTATATACAGGTCCTTATTGTTTACTTTATATATAGTAGTGTGTAGCTATTGATTCCAAATGCCTAATTTATTCCTCCCCTTGTCATTTCCCTTTTGGTAACCGTAAATTTGTTTTCTATGTTTATAAGCCTATTTCTGTTTTGTAAATAAGTTCATTTGTTTTATTTTTTAAGATTCCAATCATAAGTGATATCATATGATGTTTGTCTTTCTCTTTACTTAGTACCATAATGTCTAGGTCCATCCATGTTGCTGCAAATGGCACTATTTCATTCTTTTTTTGGCTAAATAATATTCTTGTGTGTGTGTGCGCGCGCGTGCACGCACACAAAAATGTATATCTTCTTTATTCATTCATCTGTTCATAGATATTTATGCTGCTTCCATGTCTTGGGTATTGTAAATAGTGCTGCTATGAAAACCGGATGTATCTTTTCAAATTAGTTTTTGCCTTTTCCATATATATGCCCAGGAACAGGACTGCTAGATGATATGGTAACTCTATTTTTGAGTTTTTAAGGAACTTTCACACTGTTCTCCACAGTGGCTGCACCGACTTACATTCCCACCAACAGTGTGGGAAGCTTCCCTGTCTCCCTACGCTCTCCAGCCTTTGTTATTTGTAGACTTTTTAATAATGGCCATTTGCACCAGTTTTGGTAACTCACTGTAGTTCTGATTTGTGTTTCTCTAATAATTAGTGATATTGAGCATCTTTTCATGTGCATTTTGGCCATTTTCATGTCTTCTCTGGAGAAATGTTATTTTAGGTCTTCTGCCTACTTTCTGATGGGGTTGTTTGGAAAACACCACATTTCTGTACAAGTGTCTGCCAGGGTCAGCTTACAGAGGAAGTATTAAATAATGCTGGTGCCAGTGCTAGGTGTTAAAGTAGCATGAGTTTGTGTCACTAGCTCTGTTACCTAAAAGAACTAGGACAATAACGTTGGAAGTAGTAACATTATGTCCCAGACACTTACCTTCACTTGGAATTTGTTCTTTCATTGTGTGTACATGTTTTTGAGACTTTAAATGGCTTTACAGGCCAATTCATGAGTCTTTTGAAGGACTGACTGAGAGAGTAGAGTGTAAGTCAGACTTTGCTTTGAAATTCTGGAACTTTTACAATCTTGTATCAAAACTCAATGTGTTAGGAATTTGCATAGTATATACAGATCTTTTTTCCAAATAGATAACAATCACCATTTAACAATCTTTCTTTGTCAATTTGAAATGCTAATGTTATTTTTATTATTATATTAATAGCAGCATGGAAACAAGAGAGGATGGCAAGGAGAGAAACTTTTTTAATAAGTATTGTTTTAAAAAAAATCTTTTAAATTTCTGGGCAATGCTAAAAATTACCTACTCCAAAATTAAATACCTTATTAAAATACTACCTTGTACTTTCTACAGTTGTGTTTATTACTTTTTCAATTTCTTGACTTGAAAGATTATTCTAATATGCTATGCCTTTTTTTCTTTCTTTGTTCATGAACACATTTAAGGCTCTAAATTTTGTCTTTGAGTATACCTCCAGACATAGCCTTTAACTTATTCTTATTAACATTATAGTCTTAATAACCTATAATTAAAATTAATTTCTTTTAGAAACAGCACTATATAGGGGAATCATGTCTACTAGAATAGTTAAAGTGAATGTATTATAGTTACTAATAAGGAGACTGATATTAGTATCATATCTCAGTTGAGAGGAGAAACAACTATGTTATATTCCATGGTGACTAGAACTCATTTGGAGTAAGATCTGGCTCCTTTTGTTTTCAAAATAAAATTTAAAAAATATATAGTTCTAGGTTGGGATAGGAAAATCAACTTCAGAAAAGAAAGTATTAAAATCTGACTTCCTGTATGTAAAATGAGTAAAATATTGCTATATATTCAACTCAATATATTTTTGCTAGGTATAGGAAACATTTTTTAGTATATAAATGAAGGTGCATTAATCACTAAAGAGAATATTGTGAATTTCTATCTCAGTAAGTTTATGTCTACAATGTCATTTTAGAGTACAGTATTTCATAATACATAAATAATTCACAAAATTCTCTATTGCGAGTACCCAAGTTTTTTCTGATTTTTGTCACTGTAAGAAATATATGGAGAAATATTCCCTTAAAGGCATTTTCTCACATTTTAAATTATTAGTATAAAATAATTTATGAAAAGAGTTGTTGAGACGTATAGAGAGACTTCTGAGATTTCTTTCAAATTGTCCTCAAGGAAATCTTACTAAAATAATTTCTTATATTCAAAGCTGAATGCTATATTTTAAAATAATCTCTACATGAAAGTTGTTTTTACTTATCTGAAAAGGCTATTGATAAAAATGGGATGCATGCATGATTTCTTGCTTTAGAGAGAAAATGTAGATTCGGCTATGTCAGCTAAAAGGTGGCAGGTTTTACCTCAGAATTACGTACTAACAACACAGCAGTCAAAAGGTGGAGAATATTTCTGTGCACAGCAGATTCATTATCGTTAGAAATGTTTGATGATTAACAAATGCTCATTTGTTAAGTAAGTCACTTTGGGCATAAAGTATGACTGGTGGATTTAAAACACCTTCTCATTTTGTTTGGATGATTTTATGTTTCTTTAGCTTCAGTTTTGTCATATTTAACTCATTCACCCTTTTTTATAGCACACATTTACTTTCTCAGATTATCTCGTGTATATATAAATATTTGCTATTTTCAACTTCAGAAACTTCCTATTTTATTCAATCATTTCTATCCTCACTATTTTTTTTAATATGGGCAAGATACATCTGAAAATAATGCTACACCCCAATATCTGCCCAATGACACTGAACTCCACTTCCCATTACGTTCCATCATTGCAAAGAGTAGAAACCTAAGAAAGAACCACAGAAGCAGGGCTGAAGTAGTGTTTGTTTAACAGCATCCTGCCTTGGCAGGGTTCAGTGAAGATAATATCAGACAACTGACCTCTCCAGAAGCTATTCATAAATAAACTGGAATAGGTATAAACAAAGATTAGATGGGTCTTAGGCCACCTTTTTAATCCTGTGGATTTAAAAACAAAACAAAATACAAGAAAAATAAACACTTCAAAACCATCCATGATCTACCCATGAAGCAGGCAGTGAAATAACCCAGAAGAGAACCCAATGACAACAAACCAAGAAAGCAAATAAGTGAGAAGAAAGGCTACATCCACATAAAGCAACAAAACTACACATTTTTTGAAATGTAGTTTAAAAATAGCAAGAGGAAACAACTCTTTTTACCAGTACTAAAATAAGAAATACATAAACAGCATAAAGTATACTATATTTAAAATAAAGAACTGATAACACTATTTTTCTCTAGAAGTTTAGGATGAAGAAGGGAAATTCAAGAATAAGGATGCATGGAAATACAGGACCATTAAAAAGGTTAGATTTTAAGTTCTTAATACATAGCTGCTTATTTATTTCATCAGAATGCTGAAATAAAAGGTCTTTTTGGCTTTGAGGCCATGCTAACTTACAGTTTTAATTACTTAAAAATACCTACCTTTAGAAGAAATGATGCTCCATCCACTTCGGCTTTGCCCAAGAGCTGGCAAGTCAGGTCAAAATACTGCATTGGCTGGACATCACACAATTTGACTGATATTGAAGAAGGTGAAATATGAGTCGATGCCCAAATACGTAAAGCTTCGACCATTTTCTGGTCCTCAGCAGTGAAGTTAAAACATTTGCTTGCAGTACGAGGAATGATAGGAGCCCCCAAAGTTCCCTCAAATGTCAAAGCTGCAAAGCCAGAGCTGGTGATACCTTGAGTCTCCTTTTTATATACTTGGATCTAAGAAAGTGGCAACGTAGGAAACAGAAAAAACAGGTTACTGATGTAGAACCTAGGAACTGGAAACAGGAGACTATAAAATTTTGCCAGTACAGATATTAGAGGACATAATCTTTAAATAATTAGAATATGAAATGATAAAAATCTACTCAGATACGTCAAAATCCTTTAGTACCATGTAATCCTTTTACCATGTAAACTATAAAACATTATGCAAAATTTATTTTTATTTTTTAAAGAGCTATGTGGTAGCTTCCCTAATACTCTCAGTATACTTTTACTGACAAGACAATTGTTAGCTTATTTTAAGATATAATTTATAAAAAGAAAAAGGGTAATAAGAGATAGTACTTATGAATATTGTAGGGAAAACTAGAACACTCAAAATAAAAGAGTATGAAGTGGATAAAATGGAGCTGAGGCTAAGGTTTCATCAGTCTGACTGAGAGAACTCAGATAAACCTTAAAAACACTGGCTTTCTGAATTTTGAGGCTCAGTTATTAGGTGCACATGCATTTATGACTGTTACATCGCCATAAAACAATCCTTTTGAACTTATGAAATGCCTTTTAAGTCTCCTGTAATACTGTCTGATATTAATAAATACATTTATATATTTATGGAAAATTGGAAAATGTATTCAACTGATGGATGCTTAAACTGTGATGTGTTAAAATTTGTTTGATATAACTAAAGCAGTACATAGAGAAAAATTTATAGAAATAAGTGAATATTTTACAAAGGAATAACGGTTAAAAATCAGAAACTTAGGCTTCTATCTCAAGACGCTGCACGAAAAATATTATCTCAAATCCAAGGAAAGTAGAAGGGAAACACAATCAAAGGTAAGAGAAATAGAAACATATAGTAGAGAAAATCAAAGCTAAAAACTAGCTCTCTGAAGAGATTAATAAAAATAATAACCCTAGAAAAAGGTTGATTTGGAAAAAAAGAAAAGAAATACAAATCATAATATTAAGACTGCAAAAAAGGATTTGTCATTACAAATCCACCAAACATCTAAAAGATGAATAACATATGACCAAATTTATATCAATAAAGTCAGCAATTTGAATGAAATAATTTTTGATAATGATATAATTTTTTCTAAAAATTAAATACATCAAAGCTGATAGAATAAAAAAAACTCATTCATCTTAAAGAAACCTTAATTCTTAATATAATCTATCAATAAAGAAATCATCAAACTCAGATAGCTTTACCAAGCATTTAAGTAAGGGAAAAAACCCTGTAATCTTGCATAAACTCTTCCAGAATTGAAAAAGAAGGGCACATTTCCTGTTTTCATGAGGCAGAAAAACTTTAACTTCAAAATCTGTCAAAGACATTGTAGGAAAAGGAAATTACAGGTCTAAATATGAAACAAGAAAATTGTGATGACTTTGAGGAAAACTTAGAAGCTATCTTCATAAAATAAGTAGACAAAGAGTTCTTAAATAAGAAATTAAAGCAAATATATGCACAGCCTTGAACTTAGGAACTACAATCCTTGGTATACAATCAACTGAAATGCATATTATATAATATACATTATAATTACATAATTATATGTAAATGTGTATATTATATAATTATACATATTCAGTAAAATATATGTACTAGACTGTCTATAGCAGCATAATAGCCCAAACTGAAAACTATTTAAACAACTAACAGAATAAATATACAAATTCTAGTGTATTCAAACAATGGTATACCATTTAGCAGTGAAAATGAAGAAAGTAAAAACTATATGCAATAGTACAGTTGAATCAAAAAAGCATAAACCAAACATTCAAAAAAACAAAAGACTAACAGTGTATTCTTTTTATATAAAGAACAAATGTAGAGAAACTAATAAATGTTGTGAGAAGTTATGAGATTATTTACTGCTAGGGGTGGGAAGAGTGTGAATGGCAACTCTAGGTGAGGGTATGGTGGAAGTTTCTAGAGTGTTAGATATATGAGCATGCTAGTGCTGTGGAAAGAGAGATGTATATTCCACTTCAATTAAACAACAGACAAGAATTGTAAATATAGTTGTTCATGAACACTGAGGTTAAGGGCACCAACCATTCATGTAACTGAAAATCCTCTTATAACTTACAGTCAGCCCTCTCTCCTCATTTCAGGATCCATGGATTCAACTAAACATGGGATACTGTTTACTACTGAAAAGAATCTGTGCATAACTGGATCTGTGAAGTTTAAAACTGTGTTGTTCAAAGGTCAACTGTACTATAGGAAACAGTAATGTGTGCCAATCAGCTAATTTTTTTTGAAATGTTGATAAGCATGTAATATAGTGCTATAATAATAATCTTTCCAGTTGTCTTTAACCAATGTTCTCCAATATTCTTCTGTTCTCAGAGGAAAGGCATTAATAGAGCAACAGAGTTATTTCCCACCATGTCTAAGACCACTGATAGAATACACCCTGAGTACCTCACTCATTTATGAGCATCAGTGATCACAAGAACCACAGATAAACCGAAGCATTAGAAGAAAAGACAACAAAGATAGTGAAGGAGTTGCATTGAAACTCATGTAACAAGAGCAAAATAGCAAGGAACTAAAATGTTTAAAACTTAAGAGACTGAAAATATTAAAGTACTGAAAAGCTGATCATTAAAAAATCACATACTATCTAATAGTTTTGCTTTTTTACTAAAATTCTTTCACAGAATGCAGCTAGTCTGAATGACAGCAGCTAACACTTCTGTGGACGGAGGGCAGGTAGTTTGTTCAAATGAAGAGGTTTCCTAATATAAATCACTTGGAAGTCTGATCTCATTTACATTTCTTCTTATCTCTTGAAATGCCTGAAGTCATGTTCTAACAAAGCAACCACATAATTAGTGTTAACTAGTTTCAGTGAGCAATACTGAGTTCTCTTCAAACAAATCTAAGTTCTAAACAGTATGAGTTATACCTTTAGCCTGTGAAAGCGAACGATATCTCCATTTTTATAAATCATTGGAAGGGCTTCATAATTTCCACTAAAGAACAGGCAGGTTAGTTTTACATTTGTCTGGTCCACAATTGTTACAACTGAACAATAATCTGGAAAACACAAAAACATTTCACCTGACTTTTAGTATTTCAAAGCATCTAATAAAATAATAATACTGAGTTCAAAACATCAAACTTTATTCCTTCCTTTAGTCTTCTAAGAATAGGATCAAAACATAAAGAAATTTTCTTCTCTCTTAAACACACTGCCAAATTATTTTGCAAAAATATTTCACAAAAAATTCATTTTAGAAAGTTTAATAAAACAAAAATAAAAACCCTACTTAATGTAAATTGTCTGTCATTTTTATTACCTCAAATTTATAAATTGTAAAACAGATAAAATATTTAAATAACATAATTTATAAACACAATTAAATTTAGAGCAAAAACAAACAAAAAATACCATAAGATATTTCCAGTAAATATGATTAAGAGTGAACATACTGCAAAAAGAAACCCCAGGGTTTTACAGTGAATATGAAATTCAAATGAACAATTCAGAGAAAACTATATAATACCAAATTAAAAGGAAAAGTGATGATCTGCTATTAATACTTACAAAAGATTACACATCAGAACAAGAGAGGTATTTTATACAATTTAAACTGGCAAAAGAAAAAAAACTAACCAAATATAATGATAGTTGGGCTGCATGAAAAACAAGTAACTTCAAACTGGTGGTAGCAAAAACTATAACAGGTGTTATCATTTAAAGTACATGTTTCAGAAAAATGAACACTGAAAATATGTGTTGATTTCCCTCCTTCTCAATACTATACTCATGACAGTGCAGACAGAGGAAAAGATAAACCCGAAACAGTGAAAGGAGAGGAGAGGTGAGGAGAGGAGAGTGAAGGAGATGGAAAAAAGATATCAACATTATTTCAGGAAGTTGGGAAAGTAGATGGTTAAGGGATCAGATGGACAGAGGAGGATGCAAACAGAAAATACTCTTAAGCAGCTACAGCAAAGACGGGAGCCTTTGGGATTAAGGGAGACAGAGAAAAACAGCTGAAATTAGGGCTAATGAAAAGTTTACACGTGGAACAACTGCTTCAATGATCACCCATCTTTACCTTCCTTTGAAGATGATTTCAGGTAGGCATGTAGGATATCTCAGTCTCTAACTGCACCTCTTCGTGGAACACAGACTGCTTTCCAAGTAAGTTTCATTGATAGACCAAGAAGTGGTAAGCCTTTTGATGAGGATGTTAGTACCCAGAATAAACCCTCTGCATTATCACAGTAGGAGGTCTATACCCAGGTAGAAAGCTGTCTTCCCACACACCTTAGACTGATACTTTCAATGTGTCCTGTGTGAGTACTATTTGTCTCCTATTATAAGATTTGTCTCTTATTAGAAGTTTGAACATTGTAAGATTTCCCATTTAAAAAAGAGATCACGTTGAAAAAACAAACTCTTCATATACAAAGCAGAGGAAACAAATGTCTACAATCTAAAATAAATGATACCTACGTTTGTAAATGTAAAAATAAGACACAGAACAAAAATAGAAGAAAAGGAGGAAGAACACCAAGAGGGGGAAGGGAGAAGGAGATGGACGAGAACAGAGGAGTATGGAGAAAGGGGAAGGAATGGGAAAATGGGGAGACAGGACTGGAGGGAAAAAGGAAAAACAGAAACCTGATTCTGTGAGGAGGGGACAACCATTAACTGAGAGAACATAAAAAACTTTAGTTTTTTTCATTTATTTTTATTAGTTGGAGGCTAATTACTTTACAATATTGTAGTGATTTTTGCTGTACATTGACATGAATCAGCCATGGATTTACATGTGTTTTAAAAAACTTGAAAAACAAAACCTTAACAAGCATCTTCAAAAACAGTGAAAATATATTACATCCTCATCTCTTCATGTAGAGGGTCTATGGACCCAGTTTTTAGTTTTGGGGTTTCCTTTGTCAGTAGTTCTAACTATTTGTAAGGAGTGTTATTTTGTGACATTTTTTTCTCTTAGCAGTCTTCCAAAGATTAAAAGTAAATTCACTTATTTTTTAATAGAATAAAACACATTCTTTTTTAACAGAATAAAACACACTCTTGCTTGTGATGACCATATGGCTGCTTTTTACCCTTTTATAAATCTAAGATCCATTATGGAATTTTTAATCATGTATTTTCTTTTATCTTGAAATATTTTGCAATTTCATTCTCCTATTAATTATTTCATCATTATTCCTACCTATGCTTAGAAAAGACTAAATTAATATTAAAATGGGAAAATGAGAGACTTGCTTAGGAGAAAGATGCAAGAGTGTAATGAGTCATCCCTGGTGCCCTGCACTGCTCAATGTGCTGTAACACCTTTCAAGATGACATAAAAAACCAAGTTTGAAAATGATCTTTGGAATGTCTTCTTCGGCTTTAAGAATTCAGTTAAGAATTTAGAACTGAAATTTTCTGCCAATGGCCATAGAGAAGGAAATCGACAGAAGTCCTTTAACCATTATTAGATGAAGCAGAAGCTGAATGCAAAGACAGGCAACAGCACTGCATAATGAGTAATGTACTTTGAATAAAACACAAATGATCTGAAGGTTTTAAGCTTCATGTAATTTCATGGTAGGCAAAACATAAGGGCAAAGAGATCACTAGTCTAATGAAATCTAATTCAGGTACACAAAGATCAAACTTGGTATCTTTACATTTTTGTTTCCTGACAGCTTCTCCAAAATCATGTAAAACAGATTTATTTGTACTAGAATACACAAACTCACATTTCATATTTATATCAGAGAACTAGTTACTTCTTGTACTTATAGTGTTATTTTAAGTTGCAGTGATTCTAAATTACTCCTCTCATTTTAAATGCTTCACAATGAGCCACTTTTGTCAATTGGGAATACAACACATCAACAAAATTGCAAATTTAGCAGGCATAAATAACAGTAGTTGAATCTAAATGTCAGCCAGGATGAAGTAACAGAGCCCAGTCTCTCTAGCATATACATGATACTGAAGAGTGGAATAACTGAAAAACAAAACAAAACTGGGGTGTGGTTAAAAAAAGATCAGGCTTAACCTAAATTTCAGAATATTTAAAACTGCCTCACGGTTTTGTTTTTCCTGGAAAATGCAGCCTTCCCGTAGATAACTTGACAGGTTGCAAAGGACTCCATATGACACTCTGAGAAACAGTGTGGAGACCCATTGTCCAGAGGGTCTGAAATAGGGTCACCATTAGCTTTTGTAGTATCTTTGTGCAAATTAGAAAAAGACTCCTCTTTCTCAAGCAGAAATACTCTACACCCTAACCAGCTTTCAGAAGAACTTTACTGAGCCCAAGAGAGTAGCAGTCTTGGCACACATTTACATTCTGGCCTTTCTATCCAATGCTTTGGCCACTGGATGTAAAGAGCTGACTCACTGGAAAAGACTGTGATGCTGGGAAACATTGAGGGCAGGAGGAGAAGGGGTCAACAAAGGATGAGATGGTTGAATGGTTCAATGGACATGAGTATAAGCAAGAGACAGTGAGATATCCAGGAGATCGTGAAGGACAGGGAAACCTGGTGTGCTGCAGTCCATGGGGTCACAAACAGTTGGACACGACTTAGTGATTAAACAACTTTCTATCCAAACCTTCAGAAACAGGGACGCTTGTACACGTGACACCTGCGATGCACACATTCCTTCTCTAGGTCCTTCCTCCTCCCCATTCCCCTTGAAGTGTCTGTGTCAGGTTAGCAGTTAGGTAGGAATGGACTGCCAAGAAAGAAAGAAGTGACCTCGGGATTGCCCAAAGAACAACACAACAGTTTTGTGTGCCAGGGTGTACAGATGCATGCTCAGAATTCTAAGTGGGTAAAAGGAATGGCTCCACATGCTGCTATAGGTTTATGTAGCAGAGGACATTCCCAAGTGGCAGCAGAACTTGGCCTGAAATCTACACAGCTGTGTTTTCAGCTAAGTGACTCCATGTGGATGAGAAAGGCACCTCCTTAGACAGTGTACACCGGGGTACCGCACACATGAGCCATGACATGCCGAGTCTCTGTTCTGTGCTTCCTTTCTCTTTCAACGGGAAGTACTACCAATGGCTTTTCAAAAGTGTAAGCCACAAAGATCTACCTAGTGCTCAAATCCTTTTATAAAAGTAAACAGAGAAAAAAAGAGAACCTTTCCATAGAGCAAAGGCTTCCTTGAAAGCAAAAAAGACAGAAACAAACTTAATACTATATACATATGTACAGTGATAAAATACTGACATCTGTAAGCATATAAGACTTAGTTCAGTAAGGATCTAAATATTATGCAACACCTATGGTAGAATCACCATAGGTACTAACTATAGGTGAATGACAAAGCTCTCTAGAACATAAACCTCCTGCGGAATTCCCTCCACCACCACAGAATGCTGAATATTTCAGTGGTGGTTAGTAGTTTGTATTTCAGCAGCAAGGAACCCTGCTTGGGTTTCTGCTATTTTCCAATCCATTTTTTAAAAAAAATTTAGTACATAAGCTAATCTAAATTTTATTGAGTGTCTACCTAATGTTGCTGCTAAGTCAAGTCAGTCGTGTCCGACTCTGTGAAACCCCATAGATGGTAGCCCACCAGGCTCCCCCGTCCCTGGGATTCTCCAGGCACGAACACTGGAGTGGGTTGCCATTTCCTTCTCCAATGCATGAAAGTGAAAAGTGAAAGTGAAGTATCTCAGTCGTGTCTGACTCTTGGCGACCCCATGGACTGCAGCCTACCAGGCTCCTCCATCCATGGGATTTCCCAGGCAAGAGTATTGGAGTGGGGTGCCAGTGCCTTCTCCCTACCTAATGCTAGGTATATATATATATATATATACACACACACTAGTCAGGAAGACTACTAAATGAACAGGGCATGGCACCTTCTCTTATGAAGTTTACATTTTCCTTACATTGACTTACATCTTTAAACACTAATGCTGTGATCTCAGTTTGTGTGTTATTTTATATGCGAACTGCTAGTGTATAGAGTTTATACTCTGTATACGTAATGATTCATCACAATAACCACAGAACTAATGATCCAGATGACATTTTCTAGC